TTGCGCGAAAGGAATGATAACTAATGGCTGATTACTTGCACAGAAGGGAGAAAGTCCGGGCATATGTATACGTTTGTTTGAAAAAAGAAAAGCTTAAAACTCAACTCACAGTGTTTCTACAGTCTTCATTTATTAGATATATTCTCTATCCAAGTAAGAGCACAACAACACTTCATCATGACAGGGTGTTGCTATTCGCATTCAAGAGAGCTGTCATCTCGAAAGTGTTATACATGTTTTCAAGAAAGGGTACAGAAATGTACTTGCCAACAAACCATACCTGCCTTCCTATTCCCTTCGATCTTCTGTACCTGCCTATCTTTTAATCCCATCCAAATACCTTAACGTTTGAATCCTACACCAACCTTCTTCCTGAACCATTCTTCCATCTTACAAGAGCAAGTGTGAGTGTGTGTGTTTGCCTACTTGTACTTACCTGTATACATAGCTATCTCCCCATTGCTTATACCGTACACTGATTCTCTAAGACTGAAATACAACATGTCTCGTATTGGATATATAATAGCGATTTGACTAACATTATATATATAATTACACTGGGTGTCGCATATTTTTCAGATCACATGATGTTTTTCTAGACATCTTTTGATTACTCAACAAGCAGTACTATTACAAAACGAAAAGGCTGCCATGAGTAAATTATTTCCAGGTTATGTCGCATGTAAAATTGAATTCTTGTTTATTATAATTTGAATTTCTAGTTCTATGTTGCGTATTATTTGTGTCATGGATTTTGCTGACAATTCATAACAGTATGTGCTGTATGTAATGATACATTTCAGAAAAAGCCTTCGTCGAATCATGTACAGAGACGTCCCAGTGTGACACAACCTCAGACTCCAACATAATGTGTATACAGACTGCAACAGACATGAAGTGTCTCTGTACGGATGGATGGTATAGGCCAGATGCAACATCTTGCGCTGAAAGTAAGTATTAAATAGTTAACTTTTAGACTTCAAATGGTTGCTTCCTCTCCTACCTTTAGGTATTGAATCAATTAGATAAAACATAAATGAATCAAGTCAGTTCTTTGCTGAAAAAACACATTTCCCTCTTGCCATGTAAATCTTGGATATAGAAACAGCCGCCAAATCATTGATATTATTGGTTTTGGAAAGTTCATGAAAATGAGACAATGAAATAGATGAAAGTTATAAGATGTTTAACTTAGATAATTATTTCTGTTCCGTAAAACTGAATTTCTGCGTCAATGAAACTTGTGAAAGTATACTCACATCTCAGGTCCATATCATATTTTCGTTAAATGCCAAGGCGTTTATATAGGATTATGTTTACCGGTTTTGAGTGTGCGGATTTCAACAACAATTTTCACCGCCGAAACATGTAACTAGAACGTCGGTGTTGTCGCTTTTGGATTCCTTATTATGGTAAGCTTTAAGTTAACATTTGTCATATTTGGGATTGCACTTTCTTAGTAAAGTACAGATTCTAGTACTTTTGTTGGGTTGAGTCCCATCCGGGATTTGAACCCACATCCTCAGTCAGGATTGTACTTTGCGTACCCCTATGATAAGTGTTAATTGGCACGGCTCCCACGGCTGAAAGCTATGGAATACATAATGCCATTTAGAAAGTGGTCAAATGTAATACAATACCATTTAATAAGAAAGTGCAATCCCAAATATGACATATGTTACATTTGAGCACTTTCTAAATGGCATTGTGTATTTCATAGCTTTTAGCCGTGGGAGGCGTGCCTATTGACATTTATCAGAGGGGTACACAAAGTCTAAACTACCAGTTGTCCGACCTCCATTTTTGTGGAAGCCGCGGTAGTTGAGCGGTGTAGGCGTCTGACTTTTGTGTGCTGGCGATTAGGTGCCTGACTCTGAGGGTGTTGGTTCGAATCCCGGATGGGACTCAATCCAACAAAAGTACTAGAATCTGTGCTTTACTAAGAAAGTGCAATCCCAAATATGACATATGTTACATTTGAGCACTTTCTAAATGGCATTGTGTATTTCAACGCTTTAAGTTGTGAAAGAATACCTAAACTTTTTAAAATAATGAATATACAGTTGTGATGGAAAAACACAAAATCTTTGATAATATTTGTCTGTTTGATAAATCAGTGGACGTTATCATTCACGATTTTTGTTGATCTGTATTTGCTCTTCCTTGACACTGTTGTAAATTCAATTAAGCTGCCAAAATGGTGAAGTATTCACTGGAGAATGAAGCGGCAGCCCTCAGGTTAAAGCATTCACCCTTCAGGCCGGTCGTTAATGTTCGTTCCCTCAAGTGGGTATAAAGCCGACAGCTGGTATTATCCCGTAGTGATTTGATTCAAACTAATGTTGATAAACAGGATTTGGAAATTTAGAATCAAATAATCGCTGTTTAATTCCAGTTATATATACTCTATCAAAAGCAAAAGACACGCATTGATCAAAATGACAACATTCCAAGGTTACATTGTAAATGATATTTCTTAACCGAAGCAAATATCTTTGAAATTAAACCTTCACGTAGAGACGTTTATTGTCAAACTGATTGACACAAAAAATTCAGCACCGCAAATGGAAGCACAGTTATATTAGATTATGTATCATGTCCACCTTGACACATGAAATATGCGATCAGTCGTTCTCCTGTTGAAAAATCTCTGGTCGGGGTCCCGGAATAGGGATGCTCGAGACTTTAACTTCCGTCATAAATGTTGTCAAATTTCCCTGCATGTCCACCATGTGTATGACATATCACGACATGACACTGCCAGCCCTCAATCTAACCGTATCGACAACACATTGTGTGTACCTTCATGTACATGTATGGGCCCCACACTAAAAGTTTTGTTTCTCACTGAAGGTGTGTTTCTGTTAGAAGGGACACAACAGTCACAACATATCATTGTCAAATGAGTGGGTTTAAAGTAACATCGGCAGTATTTCAGCTTTATTGTGACTATTATTTATTCACTTAAATACATTATAGTTTATATAAGCTGCCAACGAAGAGCAGTAAAACATATAGATTATTACAGAATCGTTCGAAACATGGTGTGTAGCCAGGCTACAGATTATGGGCTGTCAGTGTGAGGTCACCACACTAGGAAATGTGGGGACATACGATACTTTTACTACCCGTATAGTATAGATAATACCGAGTTGGATTTACAACTGTTGAAGAATTAGAAACTGCTTGTACTGAACAAACAATAACAAGGTTGGACCGCTGTCAATATGTACAGGAGAATATTGCATCTTCCTGAATGTCTGCCTACATCTGACCTGTTCACAATCACCTCCCATTACGAGAGCACCGTTTACGAATGACAATCACTCACGTAAAGCAAACGCGAATTTCTAATTTGTTTAGAAGTTTTGTTATTTAACAAAACATCAACACTTAAATATATAATATCAAGAGTCATTCGCTTTACCAATACATCTATTTCAACGTGTATATATTCAGATAACCTACTAACCAAACCAAAGAACGTGTACGAAATACATATTCCAGGGACATATCATCACTGCTCTAAGGCACACATCGATAATCCTGTATAACCAATAACCCTGTTGGTGGTAATTATCGAAGATGTTAGTTGTTGGCCTTTACTTATATATAAATTTAATCATGTATAGTTTCAGCTAGCACACTAAAACCAGACATCACAGATACACCATCTACAGGAACAGGTAATATTGACATCAGCTGGACCAATACCGATGTCACTGGAGGGTACACATCCAGCTATACAGTAACGTGGTCTCCAGGGTCTCCGGGATCTCCAGGGTCTAATACTACAACCCAGAAGAGCTACAACATCCAGTCTCTGTCTCCAGGAACAGAATACAGTGTCACAGTTGGACACACCATCACACAGCACGGCAGGAGTCAGACGATTACCTCGGTTCCAAAGACATTTACAACAAGTACCTACGTTACACTTTTCCCCAGTCATTATTGTCACAACTTGATTCCATATTATGTTTATTACTTCAAGACTTGAATGTGCTCTTTCCCATACCAGAAATACTCAAAACCTGTGAGTGAAAGCTCGTACATTGGCAGTGAACTCAGACCGAGTGTTTTGATTCACTTCCTCTATTCTTGACAGTGGTGAGTCATTTATAGTTAAAACTCACTATAAAACCTTTATGATATCCGGAATAATGTTTATGACAATTAATTTGTGAAAAGTCATTCAAGTCTTCATGGAACATGCAGCATTACTCTGTTAAAACAGAGTATATCATTTGAAATGTCTCTTTTAAGTTTTTTTGCAGATTTTATGCCCTAATACCTGGCTCTTCCTCTCTTTGCACTCCTCCTTCGTAACACAAAGTGAGCTGAGTCAATATTTTATGGATAGTTTGTTAAACAACTTTTTTATTTTTAGGGCATAAATTCTGCAAAAAACAGAGTTGGTCTGATGTTAATATGTTATTATGATCAGTGTTTCATTGAGTATTATATGTGTATTTGTTTTGAGTTAGATTTCAATTTATTGGTCCGCTTTTGAGTGAAACGGACTGTAATTCGCCTGAACAAACACGGGAGTGTGGTTCAAGACACAATAAGGAAATTATGGACATCAACTTGAGTATATGCTCAAACTATTAGCTGCCTATACTGCATCTGGATATTGTGTCAACTTCAGCCATGGTATAATGTCATGTTGTTAGAAAACTTTTACATGTCGCAGACACGGGGATAAATCAAGTATTAATGAGACAATATATCGGATGTACGTTTGAATGTGTACATATATGTGGGTACTAATAAACCTTAAGAACGGATATTTCAATATTTAGACAGACTACGTGTTGGTTTCACAAACATCTTGAGTCCTTTGTCTTCCAGAAATATTGATACTGAGATATATACATTCACCAATACCACATGTTGAACGAATGTTCACAACCAGATTATCTTCTCTTTCATGTTACCACACGTACGACATATTATAGGCTATCTCTGCAGACGTACATCGTAATCATTGCTTTCAGGGATTGGCTACAACGAACCCTGCACACAAACTAATTTGTGTTACGATGCCAGTGCCAACTGTTACAGTGGTAGATGTCGCTGTGACCCGGGATTCTTCCGAAACACAATCTGTGTCAGCAGTAAGTGGTTAATATGGATGTCTATCTTACCTTACACGTGAACTTCGGATTGGGACTGGCTCATTTCTAATTCCTCAGAGTGGTATTCTGACCGAATCTTATAAGACCATGCATGCATAATTCACCTGCAATATGCAGCTAGTTAATATAAATGCATTGTCCAACGATCATTCAGGAGGTGACATGGGGCGGTGTACCGTCCATGTTGACCTGTGGATAAGTTATTATTGTTCATGTTTATTCCTCAAACCCTTTAGCGTGGTCATGGTCCTGAAATGGGGATGCCATGCGAGATCTTCAACATATTTCCGGTGATGTCATGTTAATGCACATGGTCGGAAGTCTCTGTCTTAGTCGAAAATCGTGCAATGTCAGTCGGTACTTACATTAACATTGCAATTTCTGGACGTACCTGAAAATGAAGATGAACACGTTATATAGGAATGAACCCTATTAAACTGACCTCCGAATATCTGAAAGTAAATGATACGAAAACCCAGCAAAATATTATGCACGACTACAGACAACGTTTCACCGTCTGAACTACTAGGCCTATTTGAATACGTTTAAGCGACTTTTTTGTGGCAATTACATGATATCAGAGACATATCCGCAATTAGATATATCTGTCCAACGTCAGTAACTCTGCTTATTTTGCTGAAAGGTCACAGCTACACAATTTCCTTGAATGACGACATTACACAAGTTTATATCTGTATGAAATGGGTAAACGGACCAGTCAAACATTTGCATCTCACGCCTCATGACTACGTGTGGTAATGCTGAAAACATGTTTGTCTAACAGACTCCCCTGCTAAATCTACAGTAATGGAATCCATCAAGTTCCTGTTCATGAAAGATATTTTCCTGTATTGATGTGTTCCGTTTCTGTTCATATCAATTCAGTCAACCAACTTCATCCTAACACTGTGACGGCCATCGTACAAAGCACAACCGCCGTGACAGCATCCTGGACAGCTCCTTCTAACGCCGTCGTTACCGGGTACGAGGTCACGGTTACACCAGGGGACATTACTCCAATCAGTGTCGGCAGAGACATCAGGACCACGCCCATCACAGGTCTGACACCGGGGAGAGTATACACTGTGAACGTGAAGACAAAGATTACTTACCTGCCAGGACGAGATGAGATGACTGATGCTGTATCTGCAGCACCAAAGCAAACACGTATGTACAGTTCTTCTGTTCAATTGCAGTCGGTTGACACATATAACATTATATAACTGAATATATCTGCAACAAAATAAACCTAATGTTATTCGTTAGTGTTTCACCTTTAAATGTTTCTTTTTACCACAACTAACCGGAAATGTAGCACACCAGAAACTGAAGATATCACCACAACTATCCGGCAGTGACCTCAAAACTGTTCATTAAGTCTATGTATGCATGCCATGACGTGAAGTTGGCACTTGTATGAAACTAGTTTTATGAAAAAACGCATTACAATTACAAAGCTGTATGAAAGCAATGACTGAAACAAAATATATCTCAGGCCATTCTAAACCACAAGACGGATTTTCTTGCAATCCACAAACTAGGAAAGATGTTTAAAGAAATTTAATTTACAGAACTGAAAAAGAACACTTAAGGTACATAATAATATTGGGTCCATTTAATTTAACTCGTGCCAATTGACTTTTTGGTTGTGTGCAAAGATGTAAATCAGTACGACAAGGCTGTCAGTTTAAAATCATTATCGTTATTTCCTTTTAGTTACAAAACAATGAGCGTCGCTGTAACATCTCCTGTGTCCAAATCTGTTAAACTATTTTCTGTGCATCCACGTATTTCTGCAAATGAAACATACAACTTTATGGATGACAACTTCTTGTTTATTGCGTTAAGCGACGTTTCGATGTAGATTCTTACATCGTTTTCAAGCTAAAAGTAGTCCACATAAACTGATTGTCATTTTCAGCTGGACGACGATGTATGAATCTACATCGAAATGTCGCTTAACGCAATAAACAAGACGTTGTCATCCATAAAGTTGTATGCTTCATTTTGTACGCACCAACTTCTAGAATGCTGATCAAACAACACGTGTTTCTTTTATTCTTATAAACAGTAACTGTGTCAGTTTTTGTTGACTACTGCTATCAACAGCTAAGAAATATCACCCACTTCCTCATGTATTTCACTTCATCCACACACGAGTGGGTGAATATGGTTTTACGCCGCTTTTAGCAATATTCCAGATCGGAAACCAAATATCAAAAGAATGTACAAAATGTAATACCCTTACCTTTCCTAATGATTAATATCACCATGTCATCCTAAACTGTGGATATGTACCTTCAGAGAGAGATATATTATTTTCAACTCGAATCGAATGATAGTCTTGATTTTGAAATGTGTGTTAGAATAGAGATAATGTAAGAGCATGACATGCTAGCAGTTTCTTGGGGCCGATAACAACGATATTGATGAAAGAACATGGCACTTTACGATTATAGAATTCTCAAAGTATCTGTATAAACTGAATAACATGTGATAATAATCTTACCAATATCTCTCACTGTTTATAGACTGTGTATACTGGGAATAAGTTCTCATGATTACCTATGTGTGTGTTAGTGTCTGTTGAGTATTCTGTTACTTAATTATATAATTACATAATTATGATGTTTTGAGGATCTTCAGGCGTATAGACTATTATCTGGAGGAAATAAAGACATTCTTTCGTTCTTCAAGACTGAGAAACGGCAGTTTTGGACCCGCAACACAGTTACTCTTTGGACATACCATACAATGTGGTGATGTTCATACAATGGTGATCAACAGTCAGATGTTGGCGATCTAAAGCTTGCTTTTATATCGTCTTCTTTTGTTAAACTGTTTTAGGTTTATTACTAGTTTTACATTTATATCTGTGATAATCTAGTTGTTTTACTGTCGTTGACAGATGTTTATAATTTACTTTTTAATATAATAAATCTTGATTTAGTCACGATATGGCTGAAATATTGCCGATGTGACTTTAAATCTAAACTCACTCACTCACTCACTCACTGATGTTCATACAGTCTACACAGTTTATGGAATCGGTTAATGCCGTTCCCGAATGAATCAGCGAAACGAGCGATTACAGCATACGCCTGTTAAATAGATGCGCATGTAAATTACGAATGGAGACATGTGTTTGGTGCCTAACGCAGTAGATCACTATTCAGGCCACATACCGGCAGTGACATAATCCAGTTACCCAGACAATCCAGTGATACGACATTCTGTTTATTGGTTTGGTTGAATGTAACACCGACCTACCAAATGTTGAATTTATCTACACAGTAAAATAGTATTTTAGAAAGTATGTTTTTGAATCAGTTTTAATGTCTCGGGATAAAACATTTTCTTCTCATATGACATAAACGATAACTGCTAATGAGGTCATGATAGTTCAAAAATAACATATAACTGTCGATTAGTATGTTGTCTGTACACAATAACTAGTTTGATATGGCCTCAGCTCTCAAATTGTGTACCTATGTTCATGGACGAAGGTGAACATCAATAATTATGTTATGTGCTTACATTATTCAGCTAACACATATGTGTCCCATCCGGGATTCGAACCCACTCTCTCAGAGTCAGGCACCTAATCGTTAGCACACAAAGTTAGGCGTCATATACTGAAGTACATGACGCCCCTCTTGAATATAATACTGAAAACTTTTCATTATATTATATGAGGAATACGTCACGATCCTGTTTACATTTGAGCTGCACGGAATATCCGATGGCGGTCATAATTATGATGAATTCAATTATCCAGGAAATATAATTTACTGAAAATCGTTTTTGTCGCCTGTTGTGACCGTTGGAGCCATGTCACCAACGGATGTACAGGATTTTACGAACTGAACAGTGAACATATGGAATATATAGACCTGTAGTAAGCGGGTGAGTGTTAAACACTAGCTGGAGACTTGAGACTCAAAGGGGTAACGGTAAGATATTTCTAAAACATGGCCACAAATACTGGGAAAACATATACCTTTTTGAATACACAATGCCATTTAGAAAGTGTTATTATCTGGACTTACACTTTCTCAGTACAGAACAGATCCTAGTACTTTTATCAGTTCGAGACTCATCAGGGATTCGAACCCACACCCTCATCGCCAGCACACAAAGTCAGTCGTCTAACCCACTTGGCCACCGCGGCTTCCACAAAAATGGTAGTCTAGACGAGGGGATTTGTGTACCCCTCTTGTAAGTGTAAATTGCCATGGCTCCCACGGCCGAAAGCTATGAATACACATTGCCGTTTAGAAAGTGGTCAAATGTAACACATTTATGTCCCATCCGGGATTCGAACCCACTCTCTCAGAGTCAGACACCTAATTGCTAGCACACAAAATTAAGCCACTCATTAAATTAGATAATAATTGTATAGTTATGTCATGATCCATATAAATCTTTATCTTTATCTTTTTTGTGACATGCATTTTTCGTCAGTTATTTACAAAAAAAAGAATCAGACGATTGTCTCGGTCTCAAGGGCATTTACAACAACAAGTACCTAAGTTTGCATTTCAGTCGTATGACGGCCACCAGTTTTATCTCACCAAGACATACATAATCACTTTTTGTAATCACAACCTGAAGACTAATAGGTCATATTTTAGCTTTATTTAAAGCAAAATTATTTATAACATAGATTGTTTGTGATTAATATGTTTCAAAAGAGTCATTCAAATCTTGCAAGATCAATTCTTAATTAATTGCTCGTCATAACCATGACCAACTGAAGACAATGAAAACAGATATTTGTGTCCGTGTGTCAGGAGCCCATTGGGCTTGTTTGATTCTAAATAATTGCAATAAGACATCGTTTCTCTTCCAAGTTGACCATTTATCACAGCACAGTATGAATTCTTGCAGTTCATCGATGGCCTGTAAGTGTTGAGGCACGGTTCACTTTATCGTGTTAGCAACACTTTGCTTTGCCACCAAGTGAATGTTCATATACAGCCCCGATGGTGCTTTCTGTTATTGGTGTTCTATATCGTATCCTTGTGCATGATCAGGCTACCTGTTCATCATCGGCTTGACAAAATCGTGACAGCAATAATGCTTTGTTGTAAAGTGTAATATGTGACTCGTAGCCATTTGAATGACATATTTTAATACTATGAAGAAAGAGTCATACTCAAAAAGCGAAGTGAGATAGTTGCGGTTTATCGTTCTGAGTGATTAAGTTAAATTTACACTTCTTTTAGAAGTATTCCAGAAATATTCGGGGGAACACCAGAAAAGGGTATCACACATTGTACCCACGTGAGGAATCGATCCCGGGTATTTGGCTTGACGAGCAAACGTATTAACCTCTAGGCTACACCGCGCCTATTACCGTCCTTAAATCTCCGCTAAACAAGCAGACAAAACATATAACATGCGGCTAGTCAAACATAGATCCCACCTCCAATTTGTGCAACCATGCATATTTTCGAAACACAAAGATCTGGAACACCGATCATGATAATATTTCAATTCCAACTCAACATGCAGTATCCAATGTAACGATATTGGCTGTGAAATGTCACTAAAGTTTCAGTGAAGTATATATATGGCGTTTTCCTATTGTCGCGTTTAGGACGTCTCATTGTCATGCTTATTCATGGATATTACGCCACTCTTCACAAAAGTTATTTGATCCGGGTTACAACACTGGCGAATTCTGGAAAGTTTTTAAAACGTTTGATGTAGACTTGTGCAAGACACTTTCAGTTTTAGGTCCACCCATTCTGGTACTCATTATCAATGATCATTGTAATAATTACGTTCGAAGGTTCTTAATAAACTGCTTTTTAAACATACTGCTGTGTTAATATCACATGTCACTTTCAGAACAAGGCTTTGGTGGGCTATGTACTGACGGGACCCAGTGCGACACCTCAGACCAGAACATCGCGTGTGTGCAGACTACAGAGAAGAGATGCCTCTGTAAGAATGGGATGTACAAGTCACCAACGACATCATCTTGTACGGAGAGTAAGTATCGTATGGAAGTTCTTTTACTTATATCTGAGCTGTAGGCACCGCTTTGTATGAGTCAAAAGATCATACGGTTCAGAGAAAGTCGTGTTTTTCCATCGTGGTCACCACGAAAAGCTTTATGTACGTGTTGAAAACCAATCAGTGCAAAACTAGAAGGGGTGCTTAATTAATTTGTGTATATATTACATCCAGATGAGAAATGTTCAGTGCAGCGGTGCCACTTTTTGTTCTATAGCACAAGATATATCTGACACAAACATCGCTTATCGATGTATCAGCATAGTGTTTTTGAACATTTTCGTGTTTTTAAGGCATCTATAGTCCGTCAACTGAACTTTTGGCACCCTGTTTTTCACGATTTACCTTTTAAACCAAAAAATGCCTTCAAAATGTTCTTGTGCATACGCTCTTTATATCTTATGACGTATCCAAGGTTTAAATTTCATAATTTTATGTCATTTATTAAAGCTTCTTCTTCAGAAGCCATCTTATAAAAATATGAAAAATAGAAGTAGTTATACAAGGGAGTAAAATGATACGATGGAACAGCAAACAATATGGTGTGACACGCGTGCATCTTGTGTACATTGGTACGCCTGCAAGCAAATCTACAGGGACTGTTTAGTCATCATAAATCCATTTTAAACAAGTAGATTCATTGAAGTCTTTAAAGACTGGTTGCTTGATCTCTTGTATCTATATCCAAATTTGAGCAACAGCTTGCATATGGTATGCTTTGATACAATGATGTCATGGTCTTCTTTTGAACAATACTTTCGTCAGTTTGCTTGACAATATGGATCGATGTAACAGGGCGGATACAGCTTTTTGAGAAAGGGGGCGCACACTATTGAGAAAAGGGGAGGGTGCACTCTTCATTTTCACCCGAGTTTCAATGGTCATCTAATAAACTTTCAGTACAAAGGGGGTGCGAAGTTTTCTTCATATACACGTGTTTGCATTGGCCTCAAGAATTGAAAAACACACACTTTTAAACCACAGTTCTAACGGTACTTTAAATGCCACGATTGTCAAATGTGCAACGTGAACGTTGGCATGTTGCAAGCGTGATGATCAGTTATTGACGTCGCAAGAGCAATGGGATTCAGCCGTCGTACTGTGTATGACTTGCGAGGTCGTCTACAACAAACTGGCACCACTTCTGATCGCCCAAGGTCGGGTCGTCCACGTGTGACGTCACGAGCAGAAGACCGTCAAATCGTCCTACGTCACCTACGTGGCAGATTTCTGCCGGCTACACGAACCAGGGCTGAGATGTTTAGAGGTCGACTGTCCTCACAGACCATTCGAAATCGGTTGCGGGCTGCCAATCTCCATTCTCCACGTCCATATCGTGGGCCAATATTGACGCCGTTTCATCAACGTCAACGTCTGCTGTGGGTCCAACGTCACCTCCGATGGACCCAGAGAGACTGGAATCGAGTCGTCTTTAGCGATGAATCCAGGTTTACCCTCAGATTCGCGGACGGCAGGCATAGAGTCTGGAGACGACGTCGTGAACGGTATGCCCAATGTTGTGTACAGGAAGTCGACAGATTCGGGGGCGGAAGTTGCATGGTGTGGGGTGCTTTCTGTGGGAACAACCGTTCCCGACTTCTGATCATCCGTGGAAACCTCACAGCTGCTGCTTACCGCGACCAGGTGCTCACCCCTGAACTCGTTTCCTTTCATGGCGGCTCATGGCCCAGGTCTACAATTCCAGCATGATAATGCTCGGCCGCATACCGCGATGTTGACACGAAATTTCCTTCAAAACGCTGGAATCAACGTCATGGACTGGCCATCGAGGTCCCCTGACCTTAATCCAATAGGGCACGTTTGGGATGCACTTGGGAGAAGGCTTCGTGGTCTTAGGAACCAACCTCAGAATTTGCAGATACTTGGCGCTGCCTTGCAAGAGCAATGGCGCAGAATCCCCAACCACGTGTTCACAAGCATCAGGCAGTCGATGAGGAGACGGTGTTTGGCAGTGGTGAATGCGCGGGGCGGCCATACACGATATTGAACTGAGAAATTTCGCATTTTTATTCTTGTGACTTGACATTCTGTATACCCATGTTTTGGAACGGCGGTGTAGCCAAATGGAACTGATTATGGCACTGTCAGTGTATCGAGTACATCACACAGATCTGAGCAATGAAATAATAACAATTTCACCATCTTACCATCTCTTGTTCTTTTATAGTGCCATGAAGAAAGAATGTGCCTATTGTGCCTCTTTTCTTACCATTGCGCCATTTAAAAATGTTTTAATACTAGACCACAATTTGTGAAACTGACATCAAACAGTCTAGCCCTCTTGCCCAGCTAAGATATACATTTATCTATCTATGAGAGTTTCACCAATAATGTACTATGTCATTAACACCACATGTGTATGTTACCTGGTGTCCACGCGTAATTAAGGTATATTTAGAAGAAAATGACATAAACCTCAAATGTAACTTAAGTTGGGAGCTACAATTAACCTTAAGAAACTCCCAGGGTAAATTTCCATTGTATCTATGTCTTAGATAGTCCTTTTTGTAAAACAAAGTAGCACTGCTTTCTGAACTTCTAGGTCACAATATATATGGTGACGATACAATAACATGCAATAACAAGCTATGGGAATCTATCCTCATAAAAAGCCGGCTTTATGTACATTTGGCAGTCTCAGTTCATACTTTGCAGAAAATGATGTTTGAAAGACTTAAAGATCAATTTGTCCAACATGGTCATCTGAAATTTAAAACTCTAGCAAAGCCACTACATCGAGAATCCTGAAGTCCGAGCTCTCGTTGCAACATTATTATAGAAAGCTTCTTAAAGTCACACATTCGGACACAGATTTCTAGTTCAACAAGGCAGACGGAATAACATAGCTCAATCGAAAAAAAACATGTAATCTATGCCATAATGTTGGTGATGAATGCACTTTTGTGTTGTGGATACTCTAGCGAATATATACTGACACACATTGAAAACGCAAAACCCATTTTGGCAATTTCTAACAAAGTTTTGTGAAGCAATTCCATTTACCACACGAAAATATAGTGATGTGAGGTTGCCGAATAAAACCATATGCACATCTGGGTTCGAACCCTTTTCGTGTTTCTGGCATGGGTACAGTTCATGAAAACACAACTCTGGTATATTCCTTGGACCTGTTGGGGTGCATGATGATCATGACATACACATACAAAGCCAGGGTTTGGACGCATAAAAGGCACTATGGTTCAACCGTTTCACTAGCAGTCACAAAATGCCACGGCTTAGTGAACAGCAGAGGGAACAAGCTATCGGGATGCTGTTGGTGGGAACATCACAAAATGAGGTTACCCACCACTTCGGAGTGAGCCCATCCACCATCAACAGACTCCAAAAGCGTCATCAGCAAACTGGAAGCGTCAGTGACCGTCCCTTACCAGGACAAACTCCGGTCACGACGGCACGTCCAGACCGGCACATCCGACGAGTTCACCAAGGAAACCGCTTTCAGACAGCAGCAAACTCACCTCGAAACACCGTACGACGTAAAGGACGCCACATCAGCGCCATGACAGTCATTTGACGTCTGCAGGCTTTGGCACTAAGGGGCCATATCGGGAAATGTCATTACGCAATGTCATCGAGTCAACAGACTCCTGTTTGCACAACAACATAGACTCCAACCACCATGAATCTCCAACCAGTGGGTGTTTTTCAATGGGTCCAGGTTCTGTGTGTCATTTGCAGATGGCAGACAACGCATCTACAGGCAGCAACATGAACATGAGCTTGGTCCCGGATTCATCAATGTCAACGTCAACGTCAGCCAAACAACGTCGCTGAGTTGACCCTGGCCTTACAACAGGAGTGGCAGAACATCCCCCAAGCACCTGTTCGACGTTCGTGCGAATCTATGCCACGTCGACTCCGTGCATGTGTACAGGCTCATGGAGGTCACACTCGCTACTGACGGGCGTAAGGGGGGTCTGTGTGTGACGCTTGACGTGTCAGTCTATTGGCGGAACTCTTGCAATCATTTTCTATGAAAATGAAGCACAATGAAATTCTCAACATAACTGTAGAACAATTTTCATCCAAGTATTGTTGTTTGTTAAGTTTTCCTCCTTTGAATTTGGCTTTGCGTTTTCAATGTGTGTCAGTATAGAAAGAGACATGCACACATGGGGTGTGAAATCCAAAACCTAGGCTGAAGAAAGAAGCACTACCCACGAGATTCATAAATGCTACAACCTGTGAAGGTCCGGGTTAGAATATTGGCCTTCAGTAACCCATGCTTGTCGTAAGAGGCGACGAACGGGATCGGGTGGTCAGGCTTGCTGACTTGGTCATCGGTTCTCAATTGCTCAGATCGATGCTCATGCTGTTGATTACTGGATTGTCTGGTCCAGACTCGATTATTTACAGACCGCCGCCATATTGCTGGAAAATTGCTGAGTGTGGCGTAAAACTCAACTCACTCACTCACTCATAAATGCTACATCATTCCATGTTACAACTTACTGTCAGTGGCATTTTTAACAAAGATTAAATCAAGTCCGATTGTGATGAAATAGGGCACCAGTCGAATTACCCCATCTACAAAATGCCCCAGCAAATTTCGTCAAATTGCCCCATATGTTTGGTCAAATTGCCAAAGGGGGTAGTCAAAATGTCCCAGTGTATTTATAATGATTAAATATATGCCATAAATGCATATTTCATAAGATTGTTCTTCATAGAAAAGTTGTATATAGTTATCTAATAACATGATATCAAAGTTGACAAAAACTATGTATTCATGGCATATATTTAATCATTTTAAATACATTTGACCAGATTTTGCAGTTATATGACAGGATTGGCATCAAAGGAATGCAGGTGGCATTTTATTGACAAATTAAAGATTCGACTTTTAATATGCGTGAAAATCGTTGGGTTATTGGCAGATTCTTAAATACAGGTTTTACAGGAAAAACATTTCTTTGTAAAATGAATTCCAAGATATTTATTACCACTGACATGTCCGATAACCCATTTAATAGCATCTGTCGGCTCTTATCTGTTTTTGTACCGTCAAAAATTATGTATTTTTTGCTGGTGTTGATGACTAATTTCTACGTTTACAATATAGAGTAACTGCGTCAATAATTGTCAGTGAGATTGGGTCAATTTTGAGAATGTAAAGACGGTTTAGGAGTAGATAATATTTGAGCACACACGTGAATGAATGCCATCGCACATGTTAACAATGCGCTCGCCATTAGTACATTGTGCTAATAACGTTTTTCCAGAAACCTATGCTCCTAAGGTTGTCAAAAGCATTCTAAAAAAATCAGTAAAACCACAACACGTTTTTGTATTTATCTTCTTAAATAGATCAATAATGCATAAAGGCTAAAAATGTGGACATTAGTGGAGTTGCCGTGTCTCAAACCTGCTTGTGATTCTGATAAAACATTAATACTTCAACATAATCATTTAATCTTTCGTTGAGAATGGAGGTGAATAAATATCGAAGGCAACTTATTTGCCGGAAATGTCCAGGGTCATTTGTATTTCCTTTACCTTTGTAGACAGATAATACCATTCAACCATTGTTCAAGAAAAATCACAGTCTCAAATATTAGATTCATATATTTGTTAACGTACATAGGTAAAAAACCTGGCACAGAAGATTAATATATTCATTAATACTGTTATCCTGGCCGCATGCCTTACTATTTATTAGCAGTCGTATGGCACATACAATTATTTCATGTTCACTTATGCCAATGTTCAGAATATCATTACAATCATTCATGTCAAAATTTGTGCTAAGAATCATATCATTGAAAGATATGACTTTCTTTTTCAGCATTTAAGTTCTTGATATAATCAAAAGGTTTATTGCAAATTTGCGTCAATATCTTTCTGGAGTAACATTTTCCAAAATGAGCGTGTATCGCTATAATGTAACTAGGAAATGTTATTTTGCATGTTAGGATTGCAAAATTTGCGATGAAGTTTTTACTTTTTGATACTGTTTAGAAGATGCGTTTTGATTTCTAAACTTTTTTGCCTGATTACACCATCCCCCTACAGATCTTACACTGACGTCCTAACCAGGTCTTATCTCTGTTACATCCTGGTCTGTTTAACGTCGTTTGATTCTTCCAATTATTACTGTATTAATCACAAATACCCACAGGTGTTGTTGTTGTTGTTGCTGCTGATGTTGTTGTTGCTGTTTATCCCAGTCATGCATACCCTTACGCTGTCTTTGTAACTCCCTTCTGTATGTATATATGTCTGTAGTGTGCTGAAGTACTTGTACCAAACCTCGCATTATAACATAATAAAGAAACTCTCATGAATAAAATATCTTGCCTCTATTCTACTATGCCAATCAAACAAATATTCATGAATATTCATGTTCATAAATATCATAGGGGCTTTTCGTCACTATTTTCTAAGACATACGTAACTATATCTTTATAGCCAATAATCTTGTATAGGTTAATTATCCCCGACGTCAGCTGTTTGATTATACTTATCAGAGTTAATATGTATGCTTTCAGCTAGCGTTCTAAAACCAAACATCACGAGTACACCAGCTATAAGCACAGGTAATATTGACATCAGCTGGACTCACCCAGATGTCACTGGAAGGTACACATCCAGCTATACAGTAACGTGGTCTCCAGGATCTCCAGGATCTTCAGGATCTTCAACATCTGCACCTACAACCCAGAAGAGCTACACCATCCAGCGCCTGTCTCCAGGAACAGCATACAGTATCACAGTTAGACACACCATCACTCTGTACGGCAGGAGTCAGACGATTTCCTCGGACCCAAGGACATTTACAACAAGTAGCTAAGTTACTCTTTCTCACAGTCATTACTGTCACAATTTGACCAGAGATTGAAGTTTATCACTTCAAGACTTGAATGTGCTTTTTACCTTTCCAGAAATACGCAACAACTGACAGTAAAACTCTCGTACGTTGGTACTGAAATCAAACAAGGGGTTGCTTGTCAATGGGTATGGGCTTAGGCCGCTTTTAAAAATATTCCTTCAATTTCCCTGCAAGGGACACCAGAAATACTAAGTAGCACAGCCGAAATTGACTTGTTCAGATATCAGCGGGGTTATAAGACACGTGTATAGTATTATGACCTGTAATGCATGTAACTATCATGAAGGAACATACGTTGTTAATATCACTGGTTGCAGGAGGATATTACTTACTATCCTCTATCATCTGGTTATTTTCTTCTTTAGTTTCGTGTTGGTACACGTCGCACTGTCGTCTAAAGTCTCACAATTCGGGGTGCAGGTTTGCATTCCTATGACCATGGGTTCGAATCCCAGTTAGACCTGACGATGTTTATACGTGTGTTTGTATCATATGTACATGGGTTTCACCAAGGTGATAAACGTCTTAGAAATCTATCACACTTCAAAGCAGTGTTGAACCAAACAAATTCACTTCTTTGATTAGTTTGTATAGTGCCTATTTAATGGGCGTTGGTGTTATATGTCACCGCTCACTTATGTGTCAGACAGTTCTGTACTTCCATCATGTTACTTTCAGGACAAGCCTTTGGTGGTGTATGCAGTAACCAACCCGTGTGTGACACTACAGACCCCAACATTCAGTGCATACCGACCACAGAGTCAAACATGAAGTGTCTCTGTAAAGATGGGATGTATAAGCCATCGTCATCAGCACCGTGTGAGAACAGTAAGTATCTAATAGGAGATTGTTGAGTTCTTACTTTTAGCTGTCGACATCTATAAGGTTTCATGTAAGTGTATGTGCTTTATTAGGTTTTTCTGACTGAATTGCCAATGTGAACAACATTTAATATGCTGCGCATCTTTTCTTCTGAGGTGCATGCCAAAATGTCAGTAGCAGGATTCTTGTAATTGTCCATAAGATATCTGCTCAGGTTCTTCACAAAATCATGGCAGGTTGGCATGAACTATCATCGCTGAACACAGTTACTATTGTCGTAAAACTCCTTATTTTTCCTTGTGCGCCTGTTGGGTAGCCCAGTGGTTTAGGCGTTCGCCCGTCATGCCGAGCACCCGGGTTCGATTCCCCACATGGGCACAATGTGTGAAGACCTTTTCTTCTGGCGTCACCCGTCGTGATATTGCTGGAATATTGCTAAAAGCGGTGTAGAACTAAACTCACTCACCCACACACTGTTATTGTGTACGTGATGGTAGTCATTGTCATTTTCAGTGTCGAAGCGTAGTGCGGCAAAACCCGGGAACCAGGTTAAACTCACAAATACACAACTTATAAACTTATAAACCTGTTTAATCAGTTTCCCATGTCTGCCTCAACACGTATTTGCGTACCTTTTTTCCAGGAACAGTTTTCTATATTGAATTGACTATAACAGAAACGTTTGGTCTGCGACATTAATCCAGACCCTTAACTTTGTTGTGAAACGAATCTATTGTTCTACTTGTCAACATCGGAATATCAGGACTTATACACAACATCGATCATTTGATTGTCTGCAGGCCACCGTAGAATGACGACAATGGTGCTGCAAGGCTATAAATTCTTACCTTTGCAGAAAAATTGTGTGAATGACGAGTCCTACCGGGAGGGCAAAAAATATTTACACTTTCAGCGAACACCTAGTGTCGTTACTGATTTTCAGTGGTACATTCATAATGTGTCACAGCTATATTTCCCTGTACACTAAATGGAATCCATTTCTGAGGATAGTCAAGACTTCAAAAGGATACTTTTGCACTGATGTCTTTCATTTGAAAATTCCCCGCGAGAACGATCAGATGAGAAAATTTGTCATGTTTTTCTTTATAAGTACTCGAAGAAGAAGTGCGTTAATACACATACAATATTGTACCACATTTACATACACGCTATATGTGCGTGTGTTTGGCGTCTGTTTTTACGTTACCTACTGCACTTTCATTTGTATTTAAATGTAGCGAATCTATGGCATATTGTATGATTAAGGGCTCCTTAGGAGGCCTATTTAAATAGTGTGATCATATATGCAATAAGATGTTAAAATATTGTCCATGGAGCAGCCACGTTCAGTGAATTCTATGTTCATGAATGTCATCGTAGGTGCATACGATGTACAGTAAACAGTAAAAGTCATCTGTGGGAGAATTTAAAATACGCCCCAGATACATGGAAGACCCAAGGTTTGTGTTGTGTTTTCAGGTTGTGTTTTCTGCCTCCCGGTGGTGCATTCATATAATGTTTTATTTTTACCCTTACAATAAATGTTATCTGTCATATTTATTCATTATTTATTTCAGAATTTAAATGTCATATTTAAAATAGGCCACAGATACATGGAAGACCCAAGCTTTGTGTTGTGTTTTCAGGGTGTGTTTTCTACCTCCCGGTGGTGCATTCATATAATGTTTTATTTTTACCCTTACACTAAATGTTATCTGTCTATGAGGAGGGGCAACACTTGGTATCCCTTTGTATTTTTGGTGAGACAAAAGTGTGTTTCGCCAATGTAATATATCTTGATGATGCAATCGCATCTTCGTTCATTTAACTTGCTAAGTGACCAAATGCCCAAATCAATTAGAGACAAACATACTGCCCTCTGTAAGTGAATTACGTTCTTGATGCCCTGTCTTTTGGTAGAGGCACCTGAAAAACTTGCTATCAAGAGATCAAAGATTAAGAGTTGCGAAGATCCCCATGATGACGTGTGTGCAGTAATACATGTGACATGACCGATATATCAGGAGACTGAGCATACATTTATCATACATACCACTGTTGACGCTTTAAGTGAATGTCCGCAATGATAGTATTTGGATTTTTGCTGTTGATGTGAACATGTATATTTTCAGCTGGCCCACTTAAACCAGTCATCGCAGATCCACCATCTACAGGAACAGGTAATATTTACATCAACTGGACCAATACCGATGTCACTGGAGGGTACACATCAAGCTATACAGTAACGTGGTCTCCAGCATCTCCAGGATCTTCAGGATCTCCAGGATCTGTCAGTACAAACCAGAAGAGCTACAACATCCAGCCTCTGTCTCCAGGAACAGCATACACTGTCACAGTTGAACACACCATCATACTGTATGGCAGGAATCAGACGATTAACTCGGACCAAAGGACATTTACAACAAGTACCTACGTTACACTTTTCCCCAGTCATTATTGGAACAACTTGATTCTATAGTATGTTTATTACTTCAAGACTTGAATGTGCTCTTTCCCATACCAGAAATACTCAAAACCTGTGAGTGAAAGTTCGTACGTTGGCAGTGAACTCAGACCGAATGGTTTGACTCACGTCTTATATTCGGAACTTGACAGTGGTGAGTCATTTATAAAGTTGAAACTCAATATAAAACCTTTATGATTTCCGGAGTATTGTTTATGACAATTAATTTGTAAAAAGTCATTCAAGTCTTAATGGAACATGCAGCATTACTCTCTTAGAACAGAGCTTATCCTTTGAAATATCTCTGGATTTTGGGGCAGATTTTATGCCCTAACACCTGGCTGTTCCTCACTCTGCACTCCTCCCTCGTAACAAAAAGTGAACTGTGTCAATATTTTAATGAAAGGTTGTTAAACAACCTTTTTATTTTTAGGGCATAAATTCTGCAAAAAACAGAGTTGGTCTGATGTAATTATGTTATTATGTTCAGTGTTTCATTGAGTATTATGTGTTTATTAGTTTTCGAGTTGTAATCGAACGGACTGTAATTCGCCTCAACAAACACGAAAGTGTGGTTCAAGACACAATAAGGAAATTATGGACATCAACTTGAGTATATGCTGAAACTATTATCTGCCTATACTACATCTGGACATTGTGTCAACTTCAGCCATGGTATAATGTCATGTTGCTAGAAAACCTTTAGCACGCGGGATAAATCAAGTATTAATGAGACAATATATCGGATGTAGGTTTGAATGTGTACATATATGTGGGTACTAATAAACCTTAAGAACTGATTTTTCAATATTTAGACAGACTACGTATTGGTTTCACAAACATCTTGAGTCCTTTGTCTTCCAGAAATATTGATACCCAGATATATACATTCACCAATATCACATGTTGAACGAATGTTCATCACCAGATTATCTTCTCTTTCATGTTGTCACACGTGCGACATATTATGGGCTATCTCTGCAGACTTGAACCGTAATCATTGCTTTCAGGGATTGGCTACAACGAAACCTGCACACAAAATGGTTTGTGTTACGATGCCAATGCCAACTGTTACGCTGATAGATGTCGCTGTGATCCGAGTTTCTACAGAAACACAATCTGTGTCAGCAGTAAGTGGTTCTTCGTGAACTTCGGATTGTGACTGGCTCATTTCTAATTCCTCAGAGTGGTATTCTGACCGAATCTTATAAGACCATGCATGCATAATGCACCTGCAATATGCAGCTAGTTAATATAAATGCATTGTCCAACGATCATTCAGGTGACATGGGGTGGTGTACCGTCCATTTTGACCTGTGGATAAGTCATTATTGTTCATGTTTATTCTTCAAACCCTTTAGCGGGGTCATGGTCCCGAAATGGGGATGCCATGCGCGCTCTTCAACATATTTCCGGTGATGTCATGTTAATGCACATGGTCGGAAGTCTCTGTCTTAGTCGAAAATCGTGCAATGTCAGTCGGTACTTACATTAACATTGCAATTTCTGGACGTACCTGAACATGAATATGGACACGGTATATAGGAATGAAACCTATTAAACTGACCTCCGAACATCTGAAAGTAAATGATACGAAAACCCACCAAAATAATATGCACGACTACAGACAACGTTTCCCCGTCAATCTGAAATACTAGGCCTATTTGAATACGTTTAAGCGACTTTTTGTTGTGGCAATTACATGATATCAGAGACATATCCGCAATTAGATATATCTGTCCAACGTCAGTAACTCTGCTTATTTTGCTGAAATGTCACAGCTACACAATTTCCTTGAATGTCGACATTACACAAGTTTATATCTATATGAAATGGGTAAACGGACCAGACAACCATTTGCATCTCACGCCTCATGACTACGTGTGGTAATGCTGAAAACATGTTTGTCTAACAGACTCCCCTGCTAAATCTACAGTAATGGAATCCATCAAGTTCCTGTTCATGAAAGATATTTTCCTGTATTGATGGGTTCCATTTTTGTTCTTGTCAATTTAGTCAACCAACTCCGTCCTACCACTGTGACGGCCGACGAACAAAGCACAACCACAATGACAGCAGCCTGGACAGCTCCTTCTAACGACGTCGTTACCGGGTACGAGGTGTCGGTTACACCAGGGGACATTACTCCAATCAGTGTCAACAAAGACATCAGGACCACACCCATCACAGGTCTGACACCAGGGAAAGTATACACTGTGAACGTGAAGACAAAGATTATGTACCTGCAAGGACGAAATGAGATGACTGATGCTGCATCTGTAGCGTCAAAGCAAACACGTATGTACAGTTCTTCTGTTCAATTGCAGTCGGTTGACACATATAACGTTATATAACTGAATATGTCTGCAACAAAATAAACCTAATAAACCATTAAGTCTATGTATGCATGCCATGACGTGAAGTTGGCACTTGTATGAAACTAGTTTTATAAAAAAACGCATTACAATTACAAAGCTGTATGAAAGCAATGACTGAAACAAAATATATCTCAGGCCATTCTAAACCACAAGACGGATTTTCTTGCAATCCACAAACTGGGAAAGATGTTTAAAGAAATTTAATTTACAGAACTGAAAAAGAACACTTAAGGTACATAATAATATTGGGTCCATTTAATTTAACTCGTGCCAATTGACTTTTTGGTTGTGTGCAAAGATGTAAATCAGTACGACAAGGCTGTCAGTTTAAAATCATTATCGTTATTTCCTTTTAGTGAACCCCGAATATATCACATATATAACGTCAATGTATGAAAATAATGGGCGTCGCTGTAACATCTCATGTGTCCAAATCTGTTAAACTATTTTCAGTGCATCCACGTATTTCTGCAAATGAAACATACAACTTTATGGATGACAACTTCTTGTTTATTGCGTTAAGCGACGTTTCGATGTAGATTCTTACATCGTTGTCAAGCTAAAAGTAGTCCACATAAACTGATTGTCATTTTCAGCTGGACGACGATGTAAGAATCTACATCGAAATGTCGCTTAACCCAATAAACAAGAAGTTGTTATCCATAAAGTTGTATGCTTCGTTTTTTTCTCACCAACTTCTAGAATGCCGACCAAACAACACGTGTTTCTTTTATTCTTATAAACAATAACTGTGTCAGTTTATGTGGACTTCTGCTATCAACAGCTAAGAAATATAACCCACTTGCTCATGTATTTCACTACATCCACTCCCCATGGACCCTAGTATGGTGATCTACCTTCAGTTGTTGGCGATCTATAAGCTATTTTTATATTGTGCTGTCACTTATAGTTAAAATGTTTCAGATTCAATTACTAGTTTTACATGTATAACTGTGATACCCTAGTTGCTTTACTGTCCTTGTCGGCAGCTTTTATACTATCTATATATATTCTATTTCAATGCCAAGTGTTCACGTCACGATATGGCTGAAATATAGCCGATGTGACGTTAAATAATAACTCACTCACTCACTCACTACATCCACACACGAGTGAGTGAATATGGTTTTACGTCGCTTTTAGCAATATTCCAGCCATATCACGGTGGGGGACACCAGAAATGGGCTTCGCACATTTTACCCATGTGAGGAATAGAACCCGGGTCTTCGGCGTGACGGGCACACGCTTTAACCACTAGGCTATCCCACATCTACCCATGAGAATACACGGCGAAAGATTAATCGAGAAGTATTGTAGTTAATGAAATATGTACCCACAAGGACGAATTATAGAAACATAAACTGTCATACATTGCTAACCTGTCTCGATATTATGAAATCCATACACCACTAACCTGTTTCGATATTATGAAATCCATACACCACTAACCTGTTTCGATATTATGAAATCCATACAGCACTAACCTGTTTCGATAATATGAAATCCATACACCACTAACCTGTTTCGATATTATGAAATCCATAAAGCACTTATACCTCATGTGTTATACAGCATGGCATTGTTATATTCAGAACTAAGAGAAAAATTGCAGAACGTAATAAGGACTGGATCCGGAAACCAAATATCAAAAGAATGTACAAAATGTAATACCCTTACCTTTCCTAATGATTAATATCACCATGTCATCCTAAACTGTGGATATGTACCTTCAGAGAGAGATATATTATTTTCAACTCGAATCGAATGATAGTCTTGATTTTGAAATGTGTGTTAGAATAGAGATAATGTAAGAGCATGACATGCTAGCAGTTTCTTGGGGCCGATAACAACGATATTGATGAAAGAACATGGCACTTTACGATTATAGAATTCTCAAAGTATCTGTATAAACTGAAATTAACATGTGATAATAATCTTACCAATATCTCTCACTGTTTATAGACTGTGAATACTGTGAATAAGTTCTAATGATTACCTATGTGTGTGTTAGTGTCTGTTGAGTATTCTGTTCCTTAATTATATAATTACATAATTATGATGTTTTGAGGATCTTCAGACGTATAGACTATTATCTGGAGGAAATAAAGACATTCTTTCGTTCTTCAAGACTGAGAAACGGCAGTTTTGGACCCGCAACACAGTTACTCTTTGGACATACCATACAATGTGGTGATGTTCATACAATGGTGATCAACAGTCAGATGTTTCTAAAGCTTGCATTGTCTTCTTTTGTTAAACTGTTTTAAGTTTATTACTAGTTTTACATTTATATCTGTGATAATCTAGTTGTTTTACTGTCGTTGACAGATGTTTATAATTTACTTTTAATATTATAAATCTACAACTTGATTTAGTCACGATATGGCTGAAATATTGCCGATGTGACTTTAAATCTATACACTCACTCACTCACTCACTGATGTTCATACAGTCTACACAGTTTATGGAATCGGTTAATGCCGTTCCCGAATGAATCAGCGAAACGAGCGATTACAGCATACGCCTGTTAAATAAATGCGCATGTAAATTACGAATGGAGACATGTGTTTGGTGCCTAACGCAGTAGATCACTATTCAGGCCACATACCGGCAGTGACATAATCCAGTTACCCAGACAATCCAGTGATACGACATTCTGTTCATTGGTTTGGTTGAATGTAACACCGACCTACCAAATGTTGAATTTATCTACACAGTAAAATAGTATTTTAGAAAATATGTTTTTGAATCAGTTTGAATGTCTCGGGATAAAAATTTTCTTCTCATATGACATAAACGATAACTGCTGATGAGGTTATGATAGTTCAAAAATAACATATAACTGTCGGTTAGTATGTTGTCTGTACACAATAACTAGTTTGATATGGCCTCAACTCTCAAATTGTGTATGTACCTATGTTCATGACGAAGGTGAACATCAATAACTATGTTATGTGCTTACATTATTCAGCTAACACATTTGTGTCCCATCCGGGATTCGAACCCACTCTCTCAGAGGTAGGCACCTAATCGTTAGCACATAAAGTTAAAGCGTCATATACCGAAGTATATGACGCCCTCTCCATTATGTTGTATGATATCACGATCCTGTTTACATTTGAGCTGCACAGAATATCCGATATGAGAATGAATACGTCACGATCCTTTTTGTTTACATTTGAGCTGCACAGAATATCCGATGGCGGTCATAATTATGATGAATGCAATTATCCAGGAAATATAATTTACTGAAAATCGTTTTTGTCGCCTGTTGTGACCGTTGGATCCATGTCACCAACGGATGTACATGCATGATTTTCACGAACTGAAACGGTAAACATATGGAATATATAGACCTGTAGTAATCGGGTATGTTTTCGGTGTTAAACACTAGCTGGAGACTTTTAGACTCAAAGGGAATGAATAACGGTAAGATATAATAAATAGTCTAAAACATGGCCACAAATACTGGGAAAACATATACCTTTTGAATACACAATGCCATTTAGAAAGTGTTATTATCTGTAGTACTTACACTTTTGAGACTCAGTACAGAATTTCAGATCCTAGTACTTTTATCAGTTGGAGACTCATCAGGGATTCGAACCCACTCACCCTCCCTCATCGCCAGCACACAAAGTCAGTCGTCTAACCCACTCAGCCAACGCAGCTTCCACAAAAATGGAAATCGGACAACTGTAGTCTAGACCAGAGACCTTGTGTACCCCTCTTGTAAATGTAAATTGCCATGGCTCCCACGGCCGAAAGCTATGAATACACATCGTCGTTTAGAAAGTGGTTAAATGTAACACATTTATGTCCCATCCGGGATTCGAACCCACTCTGTCAGAGTCAGGCACCTAATTGCTAGCACACAAAGTTAGGCGTCAAGCCACTGATTAAATTAGATAATAATCGTATCGTTATGTCATGATCCATATAAATCTTTATCTTTATCTTTTTTTGTGAAATGCATTTTTCGTCAGTTATTTACAAGAAAAAGAAGAATTTATTCAGTATAGAGCCCACAGGCCCAAGTACAATATGAATGCAAGATATATACATACAAGGTGCTTAAGTTCGCAACATATTTATAACTTGTAGATATGTACATAATACTATACTTTTACAAAAATGAAAAGGGTAACATGAAAGCCTCTTTGATAAAGTTAAACTTTGCATAAAGAGCAAATGATTTTGGGTTGACATTTTGAAGAAGATTTATGAGACAATCTTATTTGGTAACAGGTATGATTTCTTTTAAATGTTATTTTAATGGTAAAGGAGAAATCTAATTTAGTGTGGTCATTCCACATAACTGATACAACCTTTAAACCTTTGCGAAAATTGTGAAATAGATAAATCAGTGTTTAAAATATTTCGGTAAGTCAATGCATGATTAAAATCATTCAGATTAATCTTTTAGGTTCAGTTATCCATTTTCGTCCATTCTTTTTAGCATAAGGTAGTGGGCAGTAGAGGATAGATGTTTTTATGTGTGTATCAACATTTGAAATTAAACAGAAGGGCGAAAATTCTTCAATTTGACGTGAAGTTGTTTGATTGGAAGAAGAGCTTTTGATAAAAGAAGTTGATAATCTTACATCATTAAATATCCATTTTTATCATATACAATCAATCTGTTGATGGGAGAAATGTCATCTCAATAATACTGCTACCATGATATCATATTGGTACCATCATTTCAGAGCCTGCTTCAGTTGTTGGCCTGGACGTGATCAGAACCAACAGAACAGCTCCAGACATCACCGTTGTGTTCGCCAAGGCTATAGGGGATGCCACCATGTACATTGTGACGCTCAGAGGACGGGATGGAGATACATACAACCAACAACGTCAACCTGTCAACACTGGGCAGGGTCTCATCTCTGTCGTCTTCACTGGTGTTGTCGCAGCTGTATCGTACAACCTGAGCATACTAACACAGAGTGGGAACCTCCAGAGTTTACCCTATACTAATGTGATACGAGTAGGAGCAACTCGTGAGTAGAGTAAAACCCTCAACATTTAATATCTGTGAATGATGTAAATAGAACTGTACATATATGTTGAACCATATGTTATTGAACTATAACTGACACGAATAGTTTGTGTACATGGCATACTGATATAGTATAATGATCTGTATTGTAAAAGCATCATATACAAATAATATTTAATAATCATTCACCCGTCGTACACCTCATATGACTTTTCAAACTCTTGGCACATAGTATATATATCAATGCCATAGTGATTTCCATGTGTGTTATGTGCCAAACAGAAACTCTTTTTTAAGAACAAACATTTTGATAATATACGGACACTGGTCTGTTTCGTGTGAGAGAGCCATTTTCGTCAAGCAAATCTTGATCTACGTTTATTGACGCCAATAACAACTTTGAAATTGAAACATATTTACATCGTAAATAGTCCAGCTTATATTTTTAGAATATTATACGATAGCAAGTGCAAGTTGATCTTCAGCTGCCGGAATAGTTACCAATCTGAAGTCGTTTGACAACACGTCCCGCTCTGTCGCCGTGGAATGGAGAAGACCAGTCAACCCGAACGGGAAGATCTATGAATACATTGTCGACGTAAGGACGGGTGGTCCCTCAGTCTGTGTGAAGCGGGTCATCATCAACTGCACTGAATGTAACAGAGATATGGCAAACTTTGTAAGTATGCTATATAGCTACTGCAGCCCATCATCATCGTACTCCATTCATAGCATTTATATTATCTATTATATTGAAACAATGATATACTGGTCGGAGGGTATGATGTAGCGATAAGGAAAGACCTGTGACTTTCTTTGTATGTAAGTCATTCTACTAATCTTAGCCTAATTGATATAAAAAATCTTTGAAGAACGGTCTCTGGTGTGAATATGTACCCTCCTTTCTGATTAAGATGTGATGCTTCCTGACTGACATCCCCTCAAGTAACAGTCAAGTGTGAAATGCAAGTGCATGTCTATTAATGATGTTATCTAAACCATTCTGCAATAGACAAACACAAATAGACAACAAAAATTGTACAACGTTGACAACATATCTTGACTCTGGTAAACTCTGATATATAAGCTATGTTCGTATTGTCTTTTCACAGACAAAGATGGAGACCGAATGTGACACAACCATGACTGTGGTGATAGCCCAGGCTGACATTGAAAACACCGCCCACGTCATACAGCACAACATAACACGCCTGAACCCAGATACATCCTACACCATAGACGTGGTAGCTGTCATTGAAGAGGAGCCAGGAACAACCGACCAAATTAATCTACACACACCCGAGGAAGGTGAGACAAATATTGTGATAATATTACCTATTCTAGCACGACATTGTTTGATACTCGATTCTGATTGGCTGATAGCTCATCAATACTCGATTAAATGGCAGTTTAAGGACCGCTAATACATTAAAGCGACCGACTGACAGCGTAGACATACAATGAACTCGTTGACCCTTTTGTATGTAAACAAACATGTCGGGCATCGGCGATTTCTACTTTGGCAGCATCTTTTATGTTTTTGAAGAATTTCTTGACCCTAATCCCATTGAAGACACTTCGAAGCGGGAAAATTCGTCAGCAGCGCAAAAGCGGCAGTATTCCGCCATATTTCAAACCGGGCCTTGATCAGGTCAGGGTCTTCCAAATTTGGAATAGCAGCGGGGTTACCAATAATACTTACGTGAATAAAGATAGCGGCGTCTAAACTTATCGAATTCACCGCTTGAATTGGGGGCGAGTCGATTGTCCTACAGTAGGGGAGATTAATAATTCGCTTGAGAAAAAGAATCAAAATTGTTCTTGTTCACAGTACAAACTGTATCTTTTGGTAATGTGTTTATGCTATTTGTTACAAATTCAAGCATAGTGGTTCCTGGAATAAGCATTTATGTTGTTGAAAATGTGTTATTTTGTTCATTAGACAACCTGTCCTTCAACTGGAGGTTCCAAGCAATTTCCAGGAAAAAGGCCCTTTTATGCCTTGTCGGCAAAGAGTCGGTTTTAAAATGCTGATCAGTCGTGCTAGAATGAAGATAAAGCTACTCTGTTTTCAATTTTGCGATCTTTATCGTTGATTTAAGACCGCTAAATGTTATTTAAAAACCAAATAAGGTTTTTCACGTGGAACGTCGTGGACTAGTCAACTTCACATCAGGATTTACTGTTCTAAACTTACGTTGGTAGTAGCAATGCGACGTTCACACTGCACCATATGGTTTAACACAGACGTAACCAACATTATAATGTGAAGATATTTAACTCGAACGTAAACCGTCTTCAAACTGTTTATCATTTGTTTTCACGGCAATGTACATCTTAATGTAGGAGTGCAGACACGTCACCGGAAGAGGCCGTCAGTTAGTCCATAACTGAAAAAGACATACAGTTCGCTCTAGCCCCACCTATAGTGTAATAAAGTACCTTTTCCCCTGAACTATTATAACGTTAATTAGTTACACAGCTACATATTTTACCTAAGTAAGTAACTTGTGTAAACGTAAAAATTACACTTATCGACTTACATATACATATACATATATTCTAGTTGAGCAATAGATTTAAGACTTGGATATTGGTTATGAATCAATGGGGACATCATCATCCATATGAGGTGAGACAGACTCTGCTTTTCAACTTTCTTGTAGCTGACCTTGCTATTCATGCTTTATCGATGTTCGATAGTGATTTTTCTCTGGAGTTACTTTCCTAAAGCTCAACATATGTTTTCTATTAAAAACTAGAATTTCAATTTGCATTGTAAAGATGCCTATCTGGTTTCAGAATTTTCGTTTTAGTAAATATATGGATAATTTACGATAAAAATCCCAAATGATTCCTAAAAACTTGTAGCTTAAGTACAAGTGGGGTTCATTTTATGTGATCAAGTGTCCTGTTTGCGTTACACTAATTTTAAGGAAATATTTGTATTGTAGTTTTCCTCGGTATTTCCTTTGTGGTATGATGTTGAACCCAAGGGATATGTTAACTGGACCTGCAGGATGCCCTGATAATATCATTATTCATCTCGAACACATTTTCACACTCACATTGTCTCTAATGTCCCCAAATATTCCCTTGCATGCCAGAATATGGAAGGAACTACGGTTTTCAAGATATTGTTAACTTGCTGAATACTACAGTACATGTAACTACATATGGTCTGCATTTCAGGCGCTGGTAACACTACGAACTTCAAGGCACAGAGCAGGTCATCAAGCGAGATAACTCTGACATGGGATCCTCCACAACCCCGACCTGGTGTCACTCGGTACAACATAACTGTGTATGAAAAACAGGAAGACAGCGAGGGTTACGACACTCTGAAGTTCATAGCACTTTCAGGTGTGTTTGTTTATTTCACACTTTTATGGTTTGATCTTAATGAATGGTCTTGAACCACATAACTGTATGATCATATACAGGATACCCTTATAGATACAATAAAAATCGATAAAACGTAAATAATCTATATATCTTTACATGACTCAAATATCCTGAAAAGTCAATATAGATGCACCTTTTCATAGACTCACTTCAGTTACGTTTAACAACTCTGTCTGTCATGTAACACTGATGGGTGTAAACGAGATTTTTGAACATGCTGTGCCTTCACACTTGGTTTTGAAGTGGGAGAGTTTAATTACACCGCTTTTAGTAATATTCCGTCAATATCACGACGGGGGACACCAGAAAGTGGCGTCATGCTTTGTACCCATGTGTTGAATATTGAACACGAGTCTCCATAACTACTCATATAATAATCAGTCTTGACAACAATTTTGTTATCGATTGAGGTGTTTAAGGCCAAAACCGACTCGTGTATCAACCCGTCAAGTACTCGCTATACGTTACCCAGGTTTACACATGATTTTTGCTAAAAAGGTTGGGCAAACCCTCTATTCTAACTAAATACAAAGCAACCTATCGGGCTTACATGAAAACAAATGGCTTGCTGGTACTCCTGGTACTTGTTTTACAACGTTCTGCACTGTTCGTCGTATTCTGTCATTTCGATAAAAGTAACTTTGATAAACATTTTCCAGAAGAAAACAGCTCTCTCTCGGTATCATGTGATGTCACCACGCTAGGTTTTGGCCAAGGTTTGTCTAATTATTCTCTCTTGTTTAGGGAGAAAAGGGCAACTTCTCTGCGTCAATTGTGCAATTTTTATGCATGAAATGCATTCAGCTCCAAATATGGTATGTATTAGGAAATAGAAACACTATGCAAACAGGCGCGTCGGATAATAACAATCATGAGGTAATGTGTACGAATGCCGTTTCCGACGAAAGTGAAACTGTCATTGAACCTCTGCCTTGACAGATGATGCCTTGGACTAACTGGAATCCTTTAGTCGACGTGATAATGATGCTCAAACTCTTGCCATAAAAGTTGAAATGCAGAGGAGGCTACGTAATTTATTTGTAAACCCATAGGTATCGGATAATAAAGTTCGAACACGGAAAGCTGGACTCGCGCTGAAGCAAATTGGATCTAGAGACTTGCACACATTTCAATGTCAGCAAGTAAATGTCCGTCAAGAGACCGACCACCTGACTACAAAGATGACAAAACCTCCTAAAGATAGGGGTAGTACCTCACGCACTCAATAGCCACTTTGTAAAAGGAAACAAAACTCCAACATTGAAAGCATAGAAATATGGATCTGATGTTTCTTCACAGAATACAAATTTGTATATTATGGAGTAACATTTCGATAGGTTTTACTTTTGTTCAGCGCTAATCTGGCTGAGCTGCGCGATGCGACACCTATCGGAGGATCGAAGAGAAGCTGTCTATCATTACAAGGGATTTTCAATAAAGAGGTACAGCCAAACTGACAGATGTTTTGTTGTTGATTAATGCGTTCAAGAACCTCATTATCACGTACAGTGAAACAACTGCACAGTATCCCTTCAGTTTTCAGGTAATAAATAACTTGGTCAGTGAAATATGAAATTTGAGATATATCATTACCAGACATAATAATTTACCTTTTAAATAGTATTTGCGGTTCTGGTAATATCACTACATGAATACTTTCATTGTTGTAATTAAATTTAACCCGTGTCCCATCAAGTGGAGCCTCGGAGTCCACTTTGATGGTATGCTAAATCTATATTTCTCGATATTCCTGAAATTACAATACTGATTGCTGTGAAAAAGTTTCAATTTAATTATTCGGAAATTGTTACCATTGATTTTGAAAAGCAAATATCTGTCAAAGATGAACCGTCGAGCAAGTTTGAGATTGAAGCAATTTTCGCGATGATGATGGTGGTGGTGCTGATGCAGTACCTTCTGACAGTGGATCACATTCTGAGTTCGAACCTTCCTCTGAAGAAAGTGTTTGCAACAGCAGTGACAGTTCTGATAGTGTTCTGTTCTTTCTACCAACACAAGCGGTGAGCAGTATGTAACTAAGGTAAAGATGGAACGGTTCTGATCATCAATATCGCGGCCCCAATCACACAACATCCTCTCAGGTCCTTTGTAGAAAAGCATCGATTGTGACCATGTCGCACAGGACGTGGATGCCTTTAACCTTTAGGAGTCTGTCATCGACCAGATAGTCCAGCATACCAATGCTGAAGGGAAGCGACTTTTCCAAGCTAGGAAAAGAAACTGGAGAGACACAGATGCGATGACAATTCGTGCTCTCATTGGAATGCTTCTCACACTCATGCTCTTTTATCCAGTACATGCCAATGAAGCCAGTTATATGTGGTTTGAAATTGTTTTGTATCGTAGACTCAATCATAGATCGTATCGTAGATCATTTTACCCACTCAGATGCATTCCATATCATGGAAAGGAGGGCAGAGACAGACAGGTGAATTTGGGCAGGACATATAACTCAGGACTTGAGTAGACCTTTCTTTCGGACAACAGAAATGTTATAATGTTACAACTGACAACTTTTTCAGAATTTATGTTAAAAAGGCATGTTATGGAAATACAAATGTAGCTATGTTGAGATTTGATCCATAAATGGTGGAAAATGCATTTACATTTTCTAAATGTTAAACATTACTTTTATATGACACTCTTATTAAAGAGTAAAGAGGCCATTCTCCGAACTTTTGTCCTGCCAGCTTTGTGTAACTATTGTGATACATGGCTGACTGACTGAGTATGGTTTTACGTCGCCTTTAGCAATATCACGGCGGGGGGCACCAGAAATGGGCTTCACAAATTGTACCCATGTGGGGATTGTGATACATGATATTGTGATACATTATATTCATGTTCTGTTATCTTTACAGAAGAGTGCAGTTAGGATTTGTATATTTCAGGGTGGGGAATCAAGACGTACACCATTGGCAATCTCTCCAGCTATTGGTTTTACAAGTTCGACATAGTAGCTGAAACAAAACTTGGTGCTTCAGCCATTATCACAAGCGGCCCTGAGATGACGATGGAGTCAGGTACAAAGACTAAGATCAATAAGATCATTATTATTTCACAATATTTACAAAATATATCTATCTCTCACACTCACTCACTCACTCACACACACACACACACACACACACACACACACGAGTACAGTCAGTTGTGGATACACGTTACAGATATGACACCTGTGGCTTTGTAACTTTTTTTTCTATTCAATTGTCTTCAAGCCGTTCTCATTATATCCACAGAGCCGACGGGTGTGTTGGAATTGAAAGTTGAGGACATCACTGATGTGTTTAACCAGGTACAAGTGTCGTGGAAGTGTCCCAAACAGAAGGATGGTAGAAATGGAAAGATTGTTATCGCCAATCTGCATTATTCCACAAAAGTAAGTTGATTTATTTGAGCAATCTCTCTTATACGAAGCTATGGCTGCACTCTGCATTGTTTCTAACTACGATCAGTGAATTGTTTCAGAGCGATATGCAGGGAAAGTGGAATTATTCAAAGTTAGATAAAAAAATATTAATTTCCCCCTGAATGTGACACTTTCCTGACTGATTTTTGAGTTTTGGATTGTTCTTTTTAATCTATTCCACATTTATTTCGTGAACACCTATACATAAGTCACTGCCCATTGCTGATCACATGTGTTATGATTGACTGTGGTACGTTAAAACGCCTTCATTAATTCGTGAGGGATACTATTACGTACCACTTATTTATCATATATGCTAGTGTAAGCTTGTTTCAGTGTCACCTTTGTCCATACGAGATCATTACAAATCTGCTTCCACCTGTCGTTATGTTTGTTCACCAGCAAACGTCGACATTTAATCCTATAAGGGGAAATAAGAACTTCACCAATAACGGCGACTGCCTGTGGAATGTCAAGGTGGACGTAACTACAGAATTCATGTATCTCTTTGAGGTGAGTTGAGACACGAAGCATGAAAATATCACTATACGTATTATGAATGTGATTAATATGTTCATAAGGAAGTTTCAATCTATGCAACTGTAAATGATGAAGAACCCGAGCCAAGTGAGACTGGTGCATCATCACAATTTCCAACATGGCCATCAAGACAATATCAGGTCGTAAGGTGTAAGATCGCCCCTGAAATGTAAGTCGAGTGAGCGTATACTATTGCCTGGTTATCCTTTTTCCTCTGTCCTGAAATCGACGTCGTCAGTAAGTATGTATTCCTGAGACAAAATGTACCAATAGTCTAAAATTTCATGTGTTGGTTTTCATCATTCACATTAATTCTTCCCCATGCAGCCACGCAGAAAACAAACGTTGATTGAGCAGAGGCAACAGCGAAATAATAAATGATATGATGGTAAAATTAATCTAGCCACAACAGTGGTCAAGCTTCGAAAACAGGCCTGGATGTCGAGGCTAAAGAGGTGATATGTAGACAACTGCTGGTTTTCACTACATATGAGATAACAGCGACATGTGCTTACCCCCATGTATAGCCGCAAGTATCTTCCAGAAAATTATGGGGCGGTGGGGTAGCTTAGTGGTCAAAGCGTTCGCTCGTCCCGCCGAAGACCCGGATTCGTTTCCCCACATGGGTACAATGTGTGAAGCACATGTCTGGTGTGACCCGCCTTGATATTGCTGGAATATTACTCAAAGCGGCGTTAAACCATACTCACTCAATTTATATATTGTACAGAGTAGTTAGATTGGATGCTGTTCTGGAAGAATCCAGATCACACCTAAACCGTAAGACATCTAAATAGAACAACGCCAACACCACTCGTTACATCTGACAGTAATACATTCTGGACAAGTAACTATTGTTCAAACACAAACTCCTTACGAATACGTCCTTCACTTGATTGCCTTTTTCCTAAAACTTATTTCGGAATCCAGGTGGTCCTCCAACCACTATCCACAGAAGTTATCTCCCCTAACAGATGCGCGGGAAATCTCATAATTTTTATTCTTTTTTCAAAACAAAATTTTTTCCTAATTTAAGCCTCTTATTTGCTTATCATGTGTAAATGTAAGGGCTTTTAATACATTTGGTCCTCTCCCTCGGGTTCAAGAAATTGGTCAGCCTGCAGGAAATTAATGACTCCACAGGATCCTCATGTTAACACTCCTTGCTCTATCGTCTGCCGTTGTTCATTAGCTATCTCCATCAGCTTTCGAGAAGTGTACTCTGGTTGTTAAAACGGGTCAAGAAAAAGGACATAAAAATTGTGCTCCCGTACACCAGCAAATTGTGTAACGCAAATTCGCCTGGTGTGTATTGCGACATTTTCAAACAATGCATTATATCAGATTTGTTTCTGCCTTCAAACTTTTGTCCTAATTACCACGCGAAAATTATATGAATATCAATGGTAACTGCACAACGGCCGCCTTTGTAAACTGTTGACCATATATCTACGTGGGCTGCTGTGATATCTTTTTAAACATGCGTCACCAATGCCGATATACAGGCCATGATCCAACCGACTACATTAATCTCGGCATTTACTGCCAACAGCCAAGCGAGATGCCAGGATTCTTTGAGCGGTCTTCGGATAGTCATATCTGGACGAGCAACACGACTCACTGAACATAAGCGTCGATCTAATGGACGTAATGTCCCAACGGTTAAATTGAGAACATTGTTTACCCGAACCGTTTCCGAGAGATGAGTGACTCGAAGGCGGCATTGTATTATGCGTGACAAGTTTTTCTCGAGTCCCTTACGTCATTATATATTATTACATCACTGTTATCGTCACAAAGACTCTGAAATGATACTCATTCTACATATTTTCTCTGTAACTAGGTACGTCTCTACAACAAAGGGTTTGCAGGCTCTGTTGTCGGTGTAAGCAAAGACATAGTGGGAGGTGGTAAGTATTGAATTATTGACTAACATTTCGACTGGGTGATTTACTGGATACTTAGTATTAACTGCTGTGATGTGTCGTTATTATTTATAACACTCAGCAAACCTGTAGTTGGTTAATAACAGTGACGAAACCATTTCCAGTCATAACAAATCTTTACGTACAGTGTAACCTGTACGGTTTCGGAACGTGCCTGTAATGTATTAACTCAAATTTGAACTCTGCTGCTACCACTTGACATGTGTCCAGTGGAATTCACCAGTCTTCACCTATGATTTGATGATATTGTGTTTCCAAGTCACACAATACGCCTCACGAAATAATTACACGAGTATGATCTCTTGTGAGGGGTCCCGATTGCATCTAATTAACATGGTTTAAATTCTAGTTATATTAAAATTGAAATTGAGCATTTTGCAATCAATAATAATTTGAGTATTTGTTACTTGTAACTGACGAAAATGTGTTCTGCATTGGGCATATGATTTCTAAAACCAGACAATTGTGTAGAAACGGAAGTGTTAATGACTATATTTCCAAGTTGTTCTTTCTGTTCCAAAGTTGTACAGCATTTTTTGTGTGTGTGTGTGTGTGTGTGTGTGTGTGTGTGTGTGTGTTAAAACAGTGAGTGATGTCATTGGAATAGAGGTGATTAAAATTTGTGCTATTCGTCAGCTGTCATAAGATTTTGAAAAAATCCGAAAAAGATGCGTTGTGTGTATTTTTGCAAGAAGTGAGTAAACTTTTCTAGCCATATGATATCATTTTATTTATTTGTTTGTTCTCTAACGACCAAATCTGCAATATTCAAGCTACATGTCCTCTACCAGATCTAGTGACCGACATGATGAACATCGATCTACGCAAATAGATTTCTTTGACATGTATCAACCAATACAAGAGTCATCAGAAGATGACATATGGCCCCCGGCCCCCACATATTTAAAAGAACAAATCATCTGACAGTTACTTAAGTCCAGCTTGATTTTTTTTCTAGACTAAGTTCAAATCGTTCCCATGGAAATCATGAAATACATAAATGACAAAAATCTGTCTCACATATCTGCCAAGTTTAGCTGAAACTTTTGAGTTGTGCTCTGGAAACGAAGCCCACCCCTCCCTTTTGAGACTAAGTTTAAATTGTTTCCATGGAAACCGGGAAAAATAAAAATGCCAAAAATCTGTAAACAACAAAAGGCACCACTTCAAGATCTGCCTCACATATCTGCCAAGTTTTGCTGAAAGATATTAAGAAGTTTATGACTTGTGCTCCGGAAACGAAACCCCAACCCTCCCTTTAAGACTAAGTCCGAATCGCTTCCATGGAAACCGAGAAAAATAAAAATGCCAAAAATCTGTAAACAGCACAAGGCACCACCTTAAGTTCTGTTTGATATGTCTACCAACTTTTGTTGAAAAACATTGAACGGTTTTTGAGTGATGCTCCGGAAACAAAATGATTACGTACGGACGGACGGACGGACGGACAGAAGGACGAGGCGTCGACTATATAATAAGACACTGGCGTGTATAGCCCAACTTAGTACAGTAAAAAACTAAACATAGCTAGCACTGACAATGTCACTACTAAGAATGGCGTAACTACAAACACATTTCCGTTTTCACTACAATTACAGTACTATGTATGATGTTAGTACGATTGCTGTATTGGCAATGAATGTACAGATACATTGTTTGACTTAGATGCCTGAACAGATAATGTAAGAAAATGTGTCTGACAGTGATGACAGAGTGAATGAGGAACAGATGTGTATGTATGGTTATTGTGAATGGATGGCTGACAGATATGGTATATGTGTTACAGTGAATGTATAGGTATAGCTAACTGAGCTGTTAGTGTATGAAAGACTGTATGACAACGACATATTTGAGATGGAATGAACGAATAATTAGTGAGAATATTTTATAGTTAATATATGGTCATATTCTGTTTGTCTGTTTGAAGGAGTGCATGATTCGTTTGAATGGTTTTAGTGAGTGAGTTTGCTTTTACGCCGCTTTGTGCAATATTCCAGCAATATCACGGCGGGGGACACCACAAATGTGCCCATGTGGGGAATCGAACCCGGGTCTTCGGCGCGAAGGCTTTAACCACTAGGCTACCCACCGCCCTTTGATTGGTTTTAGCTAATGTAATAGGTATATGTTGTTTGTCGGAGTAGGATTGGTGTACGGAAGATAGTATGACAGATTATGAATCAGTAATATATGGGGATGTATGACAAACTGAAAGGATTTGTTTTATTTATATACTTATTTATTCAAATATTTATCTAACTTAGTAACTAAACTAACTAACCAACTTACCAACCAAGCAGCCAGCCAACAAACTAACCAACTAACCCACTAACCAACTAACCCACTCTCTCACTAACTCACTCACTTTACCAGGAATGAATGAAGGCTTTGAACAGATGACAAATGTAAGAAAGCATAGTATGAATGTATTATTGAGTAATACCTTAGTTTTAAGCGTGTATGTATTATGAAAGTGTCTCGTAGGCTCTATGGCCGGGCATTATTTGTATTTATATGCGTGACACTATGTAATAAACATTTCTTCTTCTTCCTCTTTTTCTTCTTCTTCTTAAAAGTACTTGATTCATACTTCCAATAAGGTGTCTGTGTTTTGTTTGTGATGGGGAATATTCCTTTTATGCTTTGATTAAAGCATAGAAAGTCAACACTGAAGAAGTAAATGCTTGACCTCTTGACTTTCTCGCTTTATTTTTTTATTTTGAAAGGTAATCGCACATTTACTGAAAAGTATAATTTTGACGACTCAGCATATTTTACTTCAGTACATAAGAAAAAGAAATATAATAGGATTTTGTACATGAAAATCTGCAAGCTTTTAAGTTATTGGTGAGTAATCTAGGCCCCCCAAAAGCATGAATGTATGAAGCATGTACAGTGGCTATATACTTAGCATTTTACTTCAAAACATCCAGTTTTTAGGAAGGTACGTGCTAGTTCAGCAGGTCGATATTGCAAATCTCGCTGTTATTTTTGTTTAATAATGAAACTAACCTAACTACCTCTTGAATACTTAGATAATAATTTCTTGTGGAATATTCAATGATTAGTTGATTTCTTTTGGTAAATGTACCAAATTGTTTCCTGTCAAAATTTGAAAAATATGAATTTTTGCTAAATTTCAAAGTTTAATAAAAAAATAATTAAACATTACGAACTTTTTATATATTGATATAACAATTTGATAATTGTATTTAGCAAGGTAATAGCAATTGCAACATCAAACGTTTGCTGTTCTGAGATAATACCCGTTACCCTGACAACAGTTGCTATGGAGCTGTACTCAACAACTCTACAAAAATATAATTGAATCGGAAGTTATATGTATTCTTTCAATACAAAGTAAAATAATTCTGACAGCATGAATGGTTTTAAAAACATTGTCAACTGAAAAATAGCATAATGATTCATACATTTTCATATGCGATTCTGGGTCAATTTCGTAGAATTCTATTTAACGGCTAATTAATGAAATATTTTGAGAGCAGAAACATTTCTGAGTGACATGACATTTTACAAAGCCCAATAAAGAGAATGACAAAGTTTCAATTGAATATATATTTTGGACTTATCCACCTCTGGATGGAGTGGAGTGGAGTGCTACTATTCACTATCTGTTTTGTAGCCCCACTGCAGTCGGCAGTTATGGAATCTGTGAAAAAAGGAGCAGGAGAAACTGAGGAAACGGTGTCATTGAACATCTGCCCGAAGTGTCTGAATGATCGAACAAACGGTCAAGTAAATATCACCGGGATGATGGTGTGTAAGACAGGAGCAAGCTGTGGACAAAGCAGTGAGTATACTGTTGATGGTAAAAAAACTTTCAAATCTCTTACTTTGCACTTAAATGAGTGAAATATTCACGTGTTCGTATCCCCTATTTAACGTTGTAATAGTGTGTTTACTATGTCACTAACAATTTGCTTTGTTTTCTTGTTGTTTAATGCCGCAATCAGCAATAATCCAGCTTTCTGGGGGGTGCTAGCAATTTTAACTTTTTCGGAAATTGTCAGTGTGAATAAAACGATTACAACAGCAAATGTTAATGTCCGGTTCTCTTGATGTAGAAATAATATATATGCCGTTGCTGTCTGAATACTTGGTACTAATCGTACAGGAAAACGTCGCGCAACAACCTCTGCTGCGGACTATAACGAAATCGCTAACTGGAATAAGGCCAGTGCAAATAGTTTCAACGTGGAGTACAGGGCAACAAAACAGGATTGGCTTGCTGGAAATGTTGGTGAGTATTGGTGACATCCTTACTGCAACAGCTGACACGTGGTTACAATATTTATGTCCTGGAAGGTTTTAAATGTAGATATACCAAAGTTCCATTTATGACTGCCAGCAAGCGACTATTCGTGTCTTACAACTTGAATCAAGAAACTCGAGAAGTACATGAAACTTAAATTCCAAATTACTACAGGATAAAAAGCATAATTAAGGTATCTTCGATTCTAAACTAACCGAAATTAATAAATGCTCCTGGGATGTTTTTTTCCTATTGACATATACAGCCGCCTTCTGCAATTATGTGAAAATTGCTTTCTCAAAGACCAACAAATGTCCGTGCAACTGCAGACCTTTTCGGGAACGCTAAGTGTTATTGACCTCGTTAGGTGATCATTTTCCCCAAAATTTCATAAATCCATGTTTTGGTGTTTAGACTCAGTGACTGATTTGGCTGATGCATTGATATATGATGCTAATGATTATATTTTTATTGACAGGTAAACTCACTTTGACCTTTACGCTAGGGGAGGAAGATTGCAGTGGAAACCTGCCAGGCGCTTTCTGTAATGGGAAACTCCCTGCAGGAGAAACATTTATGTAAGTTGTTGATGACACCGACAATCTGATATTCGTATTGTGAATATTTACAATACTAAGCATTTCAGAACACTTGCTCATGAGTAATACATCTTTAGGCTGCATATAGATCCATATTCTGCATTCGCTAAAGTAGTGACTTGTTACTTGCTCTGATGGCAGGCTCACCACTGTCACACGTTTTTCAAACACCAGTGACGAATGTTGTGAAATCATGCACTGACAAGCCACAAACATGAAGAGCCCGTCGTGCAATACAAGGCCGACTCGTCAGCCGATCTACATCAAAACCGCTGTCATACTCCAGGGTCGTACCATTGGCAATCACATTGTACCATCAGGCTCATTCCCTGCACATGTACGACCGATGTTAATGTTGGTTGGACCACATCATAAATCGAGATTGCAATCTGGCTTCATAGAACGTGTCCAAAGTATAGAGGATGTTATATTTACTAAGCCTTATTGCTAATTAACTAACACAACACATTTAACGTCATCCATCTATTTACTCATACATACGTACGTACGTATATACATACATACATACATACATACATACATACATACATACATACATACATACATACATACATACATACATACTTACATACATTACATACATACATACATACATACTTACATACATACATACATACATACATACATACATACATACATACATACATACATACATACATACATACATACATACATAGTTTTTATGTCTTTACATAAACTGTCATTATGTCATTTTGCGTTATTTTCAGTGTTTACGCTTTCACGTGCACAAATCATGGGTGCACCACAAGTCAAAAAATTGAAGTTACAACAAAAGGTATGTTTCAAGAATAAATAACCTGACTTTGACTCATTACATATAAGGTATCTGATAGGAATCATGTAGACCATATCAACTATTAATAACTGTACATCTAATTTCAGCTTCGTTCCCAATTGCTGCTGTGGTAGGAGGACTAGTTGCTGCAGTTGTTGTCATCGTTGTTGTGATTATCGTCGTGGTTATCCGTAGACGAAGGTATGTTTGAGATTCAATACGTACGAACTCCTTCCACATGTTCAGCAATCTTTCCCAAAAGCTCGTTCCGTTTCATGATCCCGAATCTATCATTACCATATATTTATGAATAACTGTGAATTAGTGATGGTCCCATGCTGTTCGCGAAAGGTGTACGAAGCACTAACAATGTCATGATACTGGGTAACCATGATACTCTCAAGTGAGTGAGTGAGTTTTATGCCGCTTTAGCAATATTCCAGCAATATTACGACGTGAGACACCAGAAATGGGCTTCACACATTGTATCCATGTGGGAATTCGAACCCAGGTCCTCAGCGTGACGGACAAACGCCTTAACCACTAGGCTACCCAACCGCCCCTGTTACTCTCAAATATGTACCTGGATATGCAATAGTGAAATGGAAGAAACTTTCCTTTTCAGAAATACCAAAATGAAACAAGCTGATCCATCCCTTATTGAAACTGCCGATGATCTTATCCAGAGGAAAAGGTACGAGTGGGTCCGATATTTGTAATCATAGGTGACATTAACATTATTATCATTTTACAGCCATGTATAAAGGAGTGTTTTGGTTTTGTGTTTGGCTATGGAACAACTGGTACATGTCCTGTCTTCAGATCAGTAACATTTCATCGATCCAAACTTTGTATCACTGTGATAAATGTGCCATGACTGTTTAAAGTATCCCAGGATGACTGTTTGCACATGTGTCTCTTGACAGGCCAATAAGAATGAAGGATTTCGAAAAGCGCGTTGAAGAAATGCACAAGGATTCCAACCTACTTTTTTCGGAAGAATTCGAGGTGTGTTGATAAGATTTGAGAGTAAATAGAATGAAACGCAAAATAAAATAAATATGAATTTAATTTAACACTAATATTCTCGTTCTTTTACAACAGTCTGACGGCCTAGAGGTCGTTTTCCCCGATAGATTTGGCTAAGTGACTAGCCCGAGTACTGACCTGTACGGTTAGGCAACACACAAATATCGTCATTAATAATTAACTTTTACATATGCGTCCTTTTTACAGGCTTATGGCTTGTGAAAATACTGTTTAGAATTGGTCTTCGGCAACCCATGCTTATCGTAGGAGGTGACTAATGGGATCGGGTGGTCAGACTCGGTTGATGCATGCCATGGTATCCAAACTGCACAGATCGATGCTCATGATGCCGGTCAATGGATGGTCTGGTCCAGACTCAATTATTTACAGTCAACCGCCATATACACTACCCATCAAAAGTTTAGACTCACGAGTATAAATGTAGCCACTAACTTCAGTCAACTGTTGTAAACTTCATTTTGCAAAATTTACAGGCGCTGTTTACACATGAACTAATGTATTGTAAAACAAATTCGTATCGTTGAAAAGATTATTGTCATGAGATTATTGTCATTCAGTAAATGATGAAAATCGATGAAAATTGGCAAATTCTTAACAAAACTTTACACCAAAACGCAGCTGTTTATATGAACGATATATGCACATGCTTTTTAGCAATTTGATGCATGATCCCCGTACAATTCATCTGCATAAAGTTTGCAGTTGGTTGTCCCAAGTTAGTGTAACCATATATATATATATAACATATAGTGAGTGCTTTAGGTGAGTCTAAACTGTTGATGGGTAGTATAGCTGAAATATTGCTGACTGCGGTTTTAAACTTAAAAAATAACAAAAGTAAGAAAATATGTATTTCCTAATTCAAGACTATTCATATATATTGGCATTATTCGTCCTGATTAGAAATGTTTGGCACCTTTCAGGATATTGGGGCCCTAAGTCCCAGCACGCGTGTGTTGCGTCGGAAACCGGAGGCAACAAACTGAGAAACAGATATGTGAATATTTTACCATGTGAGTATGAACAATGTTCACCTTGTACATTTTCTCTCTGATTTGTGGTCGTAGCAAACACGCAGAACATGAAACAAGCTTTACTTCGGGTGTAAGTGAAAATATTACGTACCGTGAGAACTACGGGCAAGATCAGACATAGGTGCCCCCAAGAGACGCCAAATGTGACTGGATGGTAATAACATCGATACTTTTTTATTGTGAGTCTCTGTACCATTGATACTCAACCATAGCTTTGCATGGCCAAAGTTCAATTTAGATGCCATGACGATATAGGTGGAATATCGCTAATTCAGTACATATTTTTATTGTATACCCATGTAAACTTAGGATAGTAATACAGGGGTATACGGATGACGTGGTCAAATTCCGTATTGCACCCCACATTCCGTATTGAACCCCTGCCTGCCGCTATGATTTGTTTCATTAAGTAACAGATTAATGCAAGGTAAGTGGGTATGTAGTAAAGATAGAACGTCGTACTAGTGCATTTGGATGTTTTGTATTGAACTCGAACATGTCATGGGAGCAAAAGAACAACTCGTTCTTCGATCTCGTTGCTTCTCTGGTCCCATGACATTTTCTCGTTCAATACAAAACACTCAAATGCACTAGTATGACGTTCTATGTATGTATCTATTGTTAATGGTTGGTCAAGATCACATTTTATATTCTGCATCATTTGTTTGCGCAAACCTTTACAGAACATGAATTATTCATGTTAATGTCCTTAAATTCTTATCATCAGTATGTATTAATATTTCGCAATACTCAACACTAAGTAAAGTGAATGAAATCGTGATTACCCTCAGTGTGACAGGATATATTTATGTCATTACATAGAACATAAAACTTTACTCAATGATTTTCAGTTGACCAGAGCCGAGTTAAACTGCGGTCTACCGATGACGATGACAACGAAGAGACGGACTACATCAATGCTAACTACATACCGGTACGTGAACTCTAACCTCATCTTGTATGGTGTTTTCTATCTAAACTTTATTCTCCTCCTGAGAGGGTACGTAAGTCCCAAATCTTTCAAAGTTAAATTTACGACTACCGTAGTATTTTTGTTCTTTTAAAATTCGGCTAAACTTTTCCTATAATCGCCAGCGGCTGAAAGGATGGTGTAAATCCAACTAGGGTCCATGCAGGTAGCAAAAGTACTGTAAGTCCCCATGATCCCTAGTCTACCTTCAGTTGTAGGCGATCTATAACCTTTTTTTTATATTGTATCGACCTCTGCAGTTAAAGTTATTTTAGATTTCATTACTAGTTTTAAATATATATCTGTGATAGTCTAGTTGATTTTAATGTCCTTTGTCGACAGGTATTGTAAAATGATGACCTTGGTTCCATCGCTATATGGCTGTAATATTGCCGATGCGATGTAAATATTTTACTCACTCACTCACTATCTAAACATTACTTCATGTCATAACACAGCCATTTGTAGCTTACGTATGCTATTGTTGTTATTTGTCTACCGGCAATGATTGAACAATTATTGGTATATTTTCGGTACCATCCTCTGTGATCCGAAAGTCAAATCAGTCCGTTTAAATAGACATGATTTGAAACCTCTGATTGAATCAGAAAGTTGTAACGTAAGGTGCCATACGTGATGTAATGTGGTTGCGTGCTTTAGGGTTACACGTCTCCACGCGAGTACATCGCCACCCAGGGCCCCATGACCGGAACTGTGGCGGACTTCTGGAGGATGGTGTGGGAACAGGATGTCAACATCATCATCATGCTGTCAGACCTGCTGGAGAAGGGCAAGGTGTGCTCTCACATAGATAAACCAAAGGACGGACTTCTAATGTGTATGCCTAGGCCTAACAGACATTGGTTATTTAACTGGAGCATACCAAATAAATAACAGTTGTTATAATAAACACCAACAACGCAAATGATAAAAACCAATGTCAGGGTACAAGGTGATACCATTTATATCCTTTGGAGATACTGTGATACTCTCTTTTCGTTGTGCATAATAAAGGTTGGTGTTTTCTCAAAGCTATGTTCGCTCTCCCGTGAATGAGGTCGCTCTTAGCAATATTCCATCAATGTCAAACACAATAAATAATGTGTCAGCTGAAAGTTCTTCAGATCACGCTATCATACGAGGGAATGTTTCATATTTCGCTTTCATATTCATTCTTATGTCAGAAATACTGAGTTTTTGTTCTTGTTACATAAGCCCAAGGTTGATAAGTACTGGCCGGATAATCTGAAGGAACCGGTGCAATATGGGGACATTATCGTGGAGATGATCAACTATTCTCCACTCAGCAAATACGTCATCAAAATCTTCCAGATAACCTTGGTAGGTTGTTTTCCATCTTTATATTTATTATGGCTGAGCTGATAGTCGCATGAAATCAAACTGAATGGAGCGTGTCCAGCTTATGAGACAAGCGTAATCGTAACATAATGCAGCGGGGTGACATTCGAACACATGGTGTACTAGCGATTTCCGGATGGGACTCAACCCAAAAAGTACTAGAATATGTACTTTACTAAGAACGTCTAATCCCAAATATAACATATGTTACATTTGACCACTTTCTAAAGTGGCATTGTTTATTTCATAACGATTTCAATTTCTTTCGAAATTACATATAAAAGTTTCAATGTCTTTCGAAATTATTACATAGTTTAGTCAGAAAATTAATTCTAGCAAGAATATATTAACAATGTTACATATTGTGATAACGCTTGAATGGATATATCCGGTGTTATTATCCAGTGTTTGATTAAACCCGGTCGATCTACTATTCAGGGGGAGGAAAGTCGGAAGGTCCGCCATTATTTCCTCCCTGGATGGCAGGACTTTGGTGCTAATCTTACCCCCGATGACGTCATCAGCTTTGTCAGAGATGTTCGGATGCAGACAAAGCCCACAGACAAAGGTCCAATATGCGTTCACTGCAGGTAAGGAACCTTCTATTATTATCATTTTTTAAAGGTTCTAAATCAGGACTTTCGCTACAGTGTTGCTTACGGATGACTTGCGCTTCCTTCATAAAGTGTGTTCAAAACTAGTCCCCTGTAGTTAGTGTTATGTCATGACGAATTTACCGGGTAATTCTTGTCATAATTATGAATTGTGTTTCTATGTGTATTATGAATGTGGATATTGCACCTTAAAATGTGATTTTCTTGTTTAATGTCGAGTGTCATATTCTTACTGTCACACGTTCTGTGCAGCGCTGGCGTCGGGCGGACTGGGACGTACGTCTCTCTGGACGTCTTCAAGCAGGCGATAGACGAGGAGAACTTTGACAAAGAGCTGGACGTGTTTGACTTCGTGATGAAGATGAGGGAAAACAGGTCCTACATGGTCCAGACAGAGGTAATGAGATGAAGCCCTAAATATGTTACATAGATGTCTAAATATATTTGATAGCCACACTGAACCCTTGACAATGACTAATATTACCTTCGACCAGAGTGGAAAATGTGTATTCGTGGAAATTCTTGACAGATCATCGGGAGTAGATGAGCTTAAAGACAACATTAGTCACATGAATTTCTGTGCGCCATATACCAGTCAAGGATACCGGTACCAGGCCAAATAAGACCTTGGTGCATCGTCAGCAACGAAACAACGTAGAAGACGTAATATACTGAATTCCACTTGTTTTATGAATTCATTGTTGTTAATCCATGATCCACGGGTGGTAATATCCGTGTCGATGTATATTTCAGAAACAGTACATATTTATCCACGACACCATCAAGGAAATTATCATCAGGAAGAAGAGGGAGATGGAGGAGAGAGAACAAAACAACATCTACCAGAACACCGGAGAACAGATGAAACCAGAGGAGAATATCTATGCGAACCAAGCCTATGGTTAGTGTTAGTAAGGTTAATCATTGACGGTATTGCCATATCTTGTCTTTGTCTATGTGCATGTTTGTTTTACAACGAACTGTCACAGTGATGGCCAAACTATACGAACATCAGAGCTTGCTGAACGATAAATTCAAGATTAAAGGACCCAGGCAGTGAAAGGGTATCGCTTAATGCCTGGAAATTCACAGGTGTTTCCCCAGGAAGGTGTTTCGTGTTAGCAGTCCGTCAGCGCTCACGGCATTTTAAGAATTAAGTCTCGTTCAAAACGTATGGACATCAAGATATGCCGTTCATATGCTGATTTAACGTTAGCGGATTTTTCAATCCGATTTAAGACGAGAAATCCAAAATAATGAGCAAGGGGTATTTATAATGTCGATGTATCCACTGTTGGTAATGAGTAAACATAAATTGCGGTATAACTTCACACAGACTTCTTGCATGTTAGCATAATGTTTCAGAACCTGATCCCGAAGAGCTGTACATGAACGTCAATCCTGGACAACCTACCACCGTGCTGTAGGGGCCGACAGACGGGAAATCCACAGCCCTGGGAGTTATATCACTAAGAGTTCTGTTGTTACTAAGACAGTGTTCTACAGTGCACTGGTGTATGTGATACACGCCTTCTGAGTACCACAGGTACTCTCCTTTATATGCTACAGTGAATTTTACAAACATGTTATTAGATTAGCTGGTTTTCTTGCACCTATTATAACAACACTGACTATTTGATAATATGTTCATACATATATTTTTCTTTATTCGATTACGTTTATCGCTGTGAATACGCGATACCTCACCATGCCACAGAGTACTTAAATATTCCACCCAAAATCTATATACGCAATATTACACATCAACTGAACAACAAAATGAAAATATATATGAACACCCTGTCCCAGGACATACATCTCCGATGTGTCGGGATTTGCATTAATTTGTCGGTTAATTTAATTTATGTAGTGAATACAGAACAAGAAAGGGCCGTATTACAAGAAGGGGAAAATTCCAGATTTTGCAAACCTTTGCAGGTGTTTTCAGATAGGTTCATGTGAATGGGAATGTGATTAGCTGGTATCAGCATTAAATGTACATTACGTTAAAGTTATAGTGTTACAGTAGTAAAAGTGTTTTCATTCAGCAATTTATTAATTTTCGGTATTTCCTTTATTTTGGTCACGTGTTGTAAAAAAAAATTCATTTTGGTCACATACTCTAGCCATACGTATGTATTTGATTATGAAATAAGCACAACATTTGCAAGAGAAAGAAGGGGCGCTTGTTATCAGTTATTTCTACTTTCTTCGCAACTACAAATTTGGCAAAGATATCATTAATCTACATTTATGTTAGTGCATACACTATGCGTCCACCACGCTGTACAAATCACATCATCGCATAGGTATTGATAATGTTCAGCATGAATAGTTTTGTTTTGAATACTTGCCGACTGGACTTAAAGACATGTATACCAGTACAACATTCTGATGTCACGTGACGCTTAGTCTTCATACCAGTAGATGCAAGAATGCTATTTTGTTATTTGTTGAAGCGTGTTGTATATTTGTTTTATGATATTATGTTTTATTTGTTTCAATGTTTTGATTATTTCATTAGCGATAAGGAAAGGATTAATTCACTCTCCACACAACACCAGACAGTAATAATTGACCGATATGTCAACAGGTCATTAATGATGTATGTCTCAAGTTTCAATACGCTTTGTTTGGTTTCAGTAGCTTTTGTTTATTTATTGATTCATTTCTTTAGCCTCCATAATGGCTGTTTCTCAAAATTATTGAGCGATTGCTCAGTGGTGCTTAGGTTTTCTTTTCGGACGATCGTTTGCTCCTACCATATGGATCTCAATTGTATTAAATCATTTTTGTGTAAATTACCTTTGCAATACCTATTTTGATGTTGCTTGTCCAAATGGCTATATGATTTCTCTTCCACTGTGGGCTGCCATCAGAAGGATTTGAGGTGTTAATTCCAAAGAAATTTGTCAAGGAAAATTCCAAGCAATTACTATTATATGTGATTCAAACACATTACATTGCATTGTCCTTGCTGAACAATGAGCAAATTCAAACATGTAAATACGACAAAATAACCATCATCTAGTATTGATTATCAATGTCTTTGTAATCAAAAGTAATACTCTCACCTAAAATATAGCTTTATCAATATGCATATATATTTGCGTGAAAAACAATATAGCTTGATAGACATTTTATATACATATGTTCAACATATATATGCGGATAGGCAGATATATAACTCAGACGATGAATTTACAGACATGTGGAGTTATTTAACCTGGAGCCATAACACACTGACTGTTGGCTGATTTGGAGGGAAGTAAAGTTAAGAACGCTTGAGTGTTTCTTATATTCCTCACAGTGAGTGACGTTGCCTCAGCTCATACAGAACAGTGCTGACATGCCATTTATTTTACCTGTTTGTTTTTTTCTTTTGGCTCATCAAATTGCTGCCATCAACATTCGGGCAATATAGACTGTTACGATGAATAATTCCCAGACCACCCAGCTGTGAATGGGTACCTCGTAAGGATGTGAAAAGCCATATTAACTTGGTGCGCCTAGTGGCTGCACGAGTTGTATAATCCCCAGGGAGTTGAGATTGAAAAATACGATGTGCCGTTGAGATTGACATCCAATGATCGATGGAAAAATAAAGCGCTTGAGCTTGCATGTAGATGAATGGACTATAGCGCTATATAAATACCCATATAATAATAATAATAATTTGGAAGCATGTCTCTAATCAGGAGTGGTAAGAGATCAAATGACGTGGCCCAAATGTTATCTTTTTGAATATTTATACATGTGATAGTTTTAAATGTTTAAAACTTTTAAAAGAACCTTCATATTCCTGTTTTAAATGTACTTGTAATATATCCTTTATTTTGTTATTTTCTGTTCAGGTGGAAATACAGATATATTTTGATAGAAATTTCTGTCCGTGTTATATTTTTAACCCTGTCAAGGTGTCATGCCAACAAGAAATCAAATCACTTGACTTGGGATTGAATTTATGATTGGTCAAAGTTCCTAAGTCCAGTTGGTTACACCGTACCTTCCTCCCAAGTTTCCAGCAGTCAAACATGTTCAAAACCCGTATCTTGTTGGCATTCCCTCCCACGGGAAGTTGACAGGTCGTTATACACAGGAAATAGTGTTGACATTTAAGAGGGCAATATATCACAACGATGTACGAACAATTCCCCATCAGGACAATTCCCCACTAGGACAATTCCCCACATGATATTTCCCAATCTTGGCATTTCCCCACACCTGTTTTGTAACCAGTAATCTTTGGCGGAAACATTCAAATGACCTTACTGACCAACATACCCCTAATATACCCCTAATGCACAGATTAGTTACTCCCATCGCCCCTAACAAGTGAATACGCATAATGCACAGACTAGTTAATCCCATCGCATCTATTGTACTACAATTTTATGATGAGTGGGGAATTGTCCTGCTGGTTACAAAACAGGTGTGGGGAATTGTCCTGATGGGGAAATTCCTACATCCTATCACAACACCTGTACGCCACAATATGTACAAAACGAGTTAAATGAATATACACGAGGATAAAGGTAAGCATCCCCGGTATTGTTTACAAAGTCGCATGTAGTAAATCCCAATAGCAGTAAACCACAGAATATCCCAGACCAGTATATACCCAAACCAGTAATGTTACAGTATTTCCCTATACCAGTCGGTCACGGGTGACCTGACACAAGTAATGTCACAAGTAACATATCCCGATGCCAGTAACTCACAGTATGTCACAATACCAGTAATGTCACAGTATTTCCCTATACCAGTCGGTCACGGTGGGCCTGACCTGACACAAGTAATGTCACAAGTAACATATCCAGTATTTCCCTATACCAGGTAACTCACAGTATGTCACAACATATCCCAGTAATGTCACAATACCAGTAATGTTACAGTATTTCCCTATACCAGTCGGTCACGAGTGACCTGACACAAGTAATGTCACAAGTAACATATCCCGATGCCAGTAACTCACAGTATGTCACAATACCAGTAATGTCACAGTATTTCCCTATACCAGTCGGTCACGGTTGACCTGACACGAGTAATGTCACAAGTAACATATCCCGATGCCAGTAACTCACAGTATGTCACAAACCAGTAATGTTACAGTATGTTATATACCAGTATTTCTTCACATTTTCTTAAACTGGCCATTGAAGTAAATAGGTTTTATCATGTGTCATAGTAAAGCGACACATTGACACCAGGTTTCGCGAGCGAGTTTATCATACCGCGGTTGTGGTCTTGAGATTTTGTCGTAACTTCCCGACCTGTATGGATCTTATACGCCCAAACTACCTGACGTCACTTGCTGACGCATATTGTTGTTTACTCCCATTATAAAGGCACACCCATCTATAAAACTGACACATTATTCATCGTTATCATAAGGTGTGCATATGCATAGCCGAAAATAGATGCATACCTACCAACGCCCACTGATACGGGTATTTGCTTGCACTACATACGAGAGAACGAACACTCTACTCAGTGTTAGTGTGAGTCAACTGTGTCACATCAGACAAGGAAGTAAGTGTTGTATAGTCAGTGTAGGGTTAGCTGGCTGGTATAACAATGTAATCTCGGTCAGGGATGGGTGGTTTCAATAAAGACGACGAATTACATTAACTTCTTAAAGGTTCTTATACGCCAACACCACTCCAGACCGTCCGTAAAGTGGCCTTGTCTGAGCGGGGCAAGACGGCACCATACACGTTATACAATGTCTACGTGAGACCGACAGATAACAACGTGGTTTGTAGGGTGCAAATTGTTTCAATATGGATACTAGATAGTCAATCCTGGTCAGCATTTCACTAAAGCACTAGGATAAACCGTAACCTACGGTGACCAAGCTAGTTTTAATCATAGAAACAGCAAACTATGTCCCCGTTTACCCAGTGGGACACCGACAATTACCAAGGTGATCAATTTTAACACTCTTGATATAATTCATTTGTGGAATCTTTTGACATAAGAAAGTTATAAACTCTATTTTATAACCTAAACATATTGTACGGATTCATAACATTAATATATCTCACCACTGTTATAAAGTACATATCATCAGTGACAGTTGCAGAAACATATGTCTCATGGTGGTTCCTGATTATGAGTAAGTGAGTTTAGTTTTACGCCGCTTTTAGCAATATTCCGGCAATATGACGGCGGGGGACACCAGAAATGGGCTTCATACATTGTACCCATGTGGGGAATCGACCGGGTCTTCAGCGTGACGAGCGAACGCTTTAACCACTAGGGTACCCCACCGCCCCTCAAATTATAAAATGGATATTGCAACATATACTACCCATCAAAAGTTTAGACTCACTTAAAGCACTCACTGTATGTTATGTATGTATGTATGTATGGTTACATCGAAAATGAATTTCTCCACTTACTTGGGGAACCAACTGAAAACCTT